CTTGCGCATAAGCCACGATGAGTGTGAACCAGGTTCATGTTCAAAACAGAGACAAGACCAAGAACATTGCATACAAGGCACCGACTGGTTGACTTCAGCGACCACTCCGGCGACGGCCCATCCCTGCCGCGGCAGCGCGTGTCCGGTTGCCGCGCGGCGGTGACGGCTCCTTGACCTTCACTTGCACAACTTCTTCCTCCTCTTCATCTTCTTCGCTGCTCGACTCTTCCTGAGAAGACTCGTGAGGGGCACGATGGGGAAACACTGGCTTGGATGTGTTGCTGCTCCGGTTGGACTCGTTCGAAACGGATCGGTAGGCCTCTCCTAGCCCCGCCGCGTACCGACGAGCCTGGACGCCATAGCGAGGATCCAAGGGAGGCCCGTAAGACTGCAGATACGGAGACTCTTCGAGCGAATAGGGCGCCACGTTGGACAGAGGTCGCTGTGGAGGAGCCCACTGAGGATCATCTGGGAGAGTCCGTGGAAAAGGAAAGTCTCGGGAGGACGACATCGGACGAGCGGTCGAATAACGCTGAGAATGCGGTGACGATTGCTGGAGGTCGGGTGGACTGATCGAGGGCTGAGGACGCAGAGATTGTGTCGTAGGCGTTCGGGGACGTTGAGATGAAGAAGAGCTGGACTGTCGACCATACCCAGCCGAAGACGTTCTTGCCATTCCCCGAGCACCTTCGTCGCCAGCTAGAGGGTATTGAACGTAGTGTTCTCTGCTGCTCCGTCGATCGCCCTTGGAAGGAGACTTGGGGACTGGCTCGTCACTTTTCCTGCGTTTTGACCCGGCTTTTTTCGAGCTGCTGCCCGTCTGCATGCGCTTCCTCTCGAGAGCATCCAACTCGCGCTGGGAGAGTCGCACGTTTTTCTTCCCCAGCATCTGGGCACGCCGGATCCGCTCCAAGGCCCTCTCGACCAGCCACTCCTCCTTGTCCCTCATCGCCAACTGCACCGCATAGGCCACCGTACTGTCCGCATCGTCATCAAGATCGTAGTCCTCGCCGTCCGAAACGTCACTGTCATAATCGTATCCATTGGCCCTGAGTCGCATCGCACGTGCACTGGCCTTGTCCATATTCGCATGTCGTCGTAGGTTCAACGAAGAGCTGCCGAGCCGCACCCCCTCCTGAAGGTCATCATCGTCTTCTCCACTGTCAATCTCCTCAAATCGCACGCCATCGACATCCTCCCACTGCGTCACTCGTCTCCTGACTTGTCCCCCCAGTCGTGCCCCTGGTGGTCTTCCCCATCGGGGCATATCGTAAGGAGTTCGCGGCCGACCACCTAGACCGCCTCCTCGGAAAAAGCATTCTCAATTGGTTTCTCCATCAAAGAGGCGTGACCGAACACAGTCACGCCAGTAGCACCGATCAGCCACAGGACCGTTCCAATGGGCGAGGCAATGATGCCCAGCGGGACGGCAACGACGAGCAGAGCGGTGTAGAGCTGCGAAGATGTCGCGCGGAAGACGCCGATGTCGAGATCACGGCCGCCGAGCTTCCCAATGCCATAGAGACCGCCGCTCACCAAGATGATGACGAACAGAAGTAGGGGGTTGGTGAGCAGGCTGTAGATGCTGAGCATCACAAAGATCAGGGCATAGTTGCTGGAGAAGTACGAGAGGTTGTAGTTGACGCGGCTCTGGACCTCGGCGAAGTTGGCAGGCTTGGACAGACGCTTCAGGTCCAGGAACTCGGAGATGGGCCGCAGGTTTGAGAAACGAGAGCTGAGCGACTGGGCGCGGACGCTGTTGAAGCGATCGGAGAAGCGCGACGTGATCATATCGAGGGGGATCTGGATTGGGGCCATTGTGGTGGTAGTGGTAAGTGGGAAAAGACGAGCGAAGAGAGAACAATAAAACGACTACTGCAGAGGATTGTTCGCGATCAGTATCCGGTAGACAAAGCGTGAAGAACAGGCTGGCAGACGGGGGTGGAAGGAGGAAACAAAAAGCTGGCCGGAAACAATATTAATGTTTGCAGTCGAGACCAACCACGGCAGGATCTGCCCAGGGGCAGCCTCAGCCCGTCCGCGCCTGGCGAATGGCCGCGCAGCCTGGCCTGACAGCGTAAAACGACGGGCTAGGGAAAAAAAAAAGGAATCTCACTTTCAGTATGAGCGATCAACAGACGAGTCCTCGAGTCAGACCGCTCTAGACGTAAAGAACGGCTCTCAACTGCACGTTCGCATCTCGCGAACTACGGTCGAGGCAGCATCTTGCACACCCGCAACAACAGTTCTAGTAGTAGGGACAAGACATACGGCAACGTCACCCAGAAGAACACGGGTCTTCTTTTTCAGAATACTGTATTTATAATATCTACCAGTCTATCCTCGCCTAAACTTCCAGTTCTGCACCTCTGGAGCAAGTGTTTGCTTCCCCGTTTTCTTGCCTCGTTGTGCGCATCGTAATTGGTCCACGTTGGCTGTGAATCTGCGACGCTGCAGTCGGGCTTGCTTGACCGCCCGTAACGAGTCGACAGCTCATCTCCCCAGTCACTAGTCTTCCCAGGCCCAGCATCGCCTTGATTTTGGTCCAGTCGAATTTCCCGGCTCGTCTCTTGCACCCGACTTCTTTCCTTCTCAGTATTTGCCGCTGTTCCCTCCGAGGCAGCAGTAACTTCGGTACCGACTGGGCTTGCTCCGGGCTTGCTCCCATAGGCCCAAAATGAGGCATTCAGCGCTCCAGCTGCTGCTTCTGGCCGTCTTACTGGTACTAGCAGCTGCTTGGACCAAGGAAGGTCTGTTAAGACAAGTCAAGCTCGATATTGGACGCGTGACTGACGTGCCGCAGACCACGAGATTTTCCGTCTCCGCGACGAAATTGCTGCCACGGAGGGCGCGAATGTCACATTTTACGGTGCGAACATTGCCCATTTTCCCTTGGCTGACCTCTCACTGACCTTGCAACTAGATTTCCTAGGTGTTTCGCCCAGTGCGAGCTACGACGACATCACCAAGGCCTACCACAAAAAATCGAAACAACTCCATCCGGACAAGGTCAAACGCGCATTCATCGCGAATAGTGCCAGGGCTCCGAAAGACAAGAAGAAGGGCAAGAAACCAGGGGTCCATGTTTCAAAAGGACCTTCCCAGCGTCAGATCGCTGCCGTGGTCAAGGAAGCCACCGAGCGGTCTGCCCGTCTGAATGCCGCTGCCAATATCCTGCGCGGACCCTCTCGAGAGCGATATGACTATTTTCTCAAAAATGGGTTCCCCAAGTGGAAAGGTACTGGCTATTACTATTCTCGATACCGTCCCGGCCTGGGTACTGTGTTGGTAGGCCTTTTCCTTGCCTTTGGAGGTGTGGCCCACTACGTCGCTCTCGTCCTGTCCTGGAAGCGTCAGCGGGAGTTTGTGGACCGATATATCCGTCAAGCCAGGAAGGCCGCATGGGGGGACGAGCTGGGTATCCGGGGCATTCCTGGTCTGGATTCTCCCAGCCCAGCAGTCTCAGCTCCAGCCCCGGAGGCAGGGGAGAACGGTGCTGTTCCTATGAACCGCCGTCAGAAGCGCATGATGGAGAGAGAAAGTCGCAAAGAGAAGAAAGCCGCCAAGGGTGCCGGACGAGGCAGCGGCTCGGGAACCGCGACTCCTGTGAATGAGGCTGGCCCCGTTGGCGATAGGAAGCGTGTTATTGCCGAGAACGGCAAAGTTCTTGTTGTCGACTCGATCGGCAATGTCTTTCTTGAAGAAGAGACGGAGGATGGCGAGCGACAAGAGTTCTTGCTCGACATCGACGAGATTCCTCGTCCAACCGTTCGTGACACTATTGTCTTCCGATTGCCTGTCTGGTGCTACCGTAAGACAGTGGGCAGATTACTTGGACGATCGTCCGGTGACGAAGTAGCGGGAGAAGAGATCACCGAAACCCACGAGGATGCAGAGACAACCGAGGAGACAAACACCACGGCCGTGTCTGCCGGAACAGCAAGAAAAAGGGGGAAACGAAGCCAGAGGCAGTGAGTGACAGAGAACTGTAATATTTAGATGTATTTTATCTAGAAACTGTACGATACCACAAAAGTTAGGATTTTGCTCGTTTGGAGACGTTTTCTTTGCCCTGTATCGCTCAGGCATGGCCAGACCGTGGCTAGACCATGGACTTTACGAAGTATTGCCTAGTATTTTATGAACGTTGACAGGAAGAGACTCCATGCCAACCAAGCCCATTGTTAGAAAATTGCCATCTTGCTTTTATATCAAACTCGATTATCCCTGAAGCGCTTTTAATTCACTGTTCGCACTCTCTTCTGGCGGTGAACAGAATATAATTCTCCGTACGGATTACTCCGTACTGCATGCAGCACGAATTAAAAAATTAAACACGAAAGACCTGATTTGTATTAATTTAACTCCATTGCTATTCCGCCGGTTCTCCACCGCTCTCCACCCTTGGGTACTGTACGGAGTACTTATTTTCCCACCGCCAGTTCCAGTCGAGTATGACGATGGATACTATCGATAGCATTGGGCAGCCACAATCTTCCCAACCTGACCTAACCTGCCCTGACCTGCCCTGCCAGCCTCCTTTATTCACCCTTTCCCATTCATAGTGAAATGCTCCAGCATAGTCTTAATTCATTGACTGTGGAGATTACTTTCATGAAATCTACAGTATAAGCACGACGGCGAGGTACCTACGGAATAGACGCGCCTGGATGGAATGGATGGATGGATACGATACCTACCTAATGCAGCGCGGTCAGGTCCACCGTATACATCACAACCCATCGCATCCTTGGAGCCAAACAAACGCAAATACAAACGTAAGCAATCCAGCCTCTATTTTTTTTCTCTCTTTCCTCTCTCCTTATCGACCTCGTTCTTTCCTTTCTTTCCTTTTCATACAATTGACAATTCCATGTCTTAACCTTTTCAATTGTTTAACTTTCTTGCCTGCTGAACCCTATTGACTATGGGCATCTGGCATCTTTATTTTTTTTGTTCATTCTGCTCACAGTATTTACATTGGCAGGGCGATGACAAGCTGAAAAGCAACTGGTTCATTATCTAAAGAATACGATTCATGGCGCCTGAATTCCAGAGAGATCTAGTGAATCGATCTATCGAGAGAGAAATATTCGTGCAATATCGCAGTGATGTCATCGTCAACCCTTTTCTTTCCCAGCTGCTTTCTCAGTTTCTCTCCCTCCCTCTGTCATTGCTGTCGCGCTGTTTTGTCCTCGTTTCTGTCGGGTATGACTTGAAACACATTTCTCATTCCATCACGTTTGATTCGGAAATCCCCAGGAAAGCAAAAAAAAAAGGAACAAAGAGTGTAAGAAATACTGCCGCCCCATGTCAAAGAATATATGCCCATTCCCTTGGTATCTTCGCATTCGCAATTCATTCATTAACATCGTGAAGGTCCAGCATGAAATTCGCCCATCTCAAATCAATTCGATTTCAAACGAGCGTATCCGACACTGGTCAGTCGGTAACCAGTCCGCAATGGTTACATAAACATCTTTGCAATGGTCATCAATCCGTGCACACTCTCGCTCAACCCACTGCCGCCTGCGCTGCCGAATCCGCTGCTGCTGGCACTCTTGCCCCTTAGACTTCTTGGCAGTCGTATGCCAATGGTCGCGAGCAGCTTCTGCAGGATCCCGCCGGTGATGAGAGGCACGATGACCAGCAGGAACACCTTGATCGGGTGCCGCTGGGCGTAGTGATAGATATGCCGTAGCAGACGCTTGATCCGATGGACGATCCGCTGGATGAAGCCGGAGCGCGGGCGAGCGCGACGCGAGGATGACGACGAGGAAAAGAACGAGCTGGTTGACCGGTTGATGCGGCCGCCCAGGCTGAAGATCGAGGGGGCTGAATGCCGCGAGTGATGCGTCGAAGAATACACCGACGAGGCGCGACGAGGAGAGCGCTTGCGGACAATATATCCCTTGGACGAGGAGGTTCCGTCAAACCAGCCCATGGTGCTGTCCGTTCTTTTTACAGGAACGCTAGGCGCAAGAAAAGACACTGCGCGATGCAATTGATCTGGGTGAGGAAAACCAATTGAGGGGAATGACGCCCGTTATCAATTGCCACCTCCACAATCAGAACGGCAGACTAGGCGGTCTGGAGATAGCACCCAATGACACACACCCCTGTGCAGATACAGAAATTGAATTGAAATATCTGCAGGTACAGAGTAATATCGAACATCAAAATCAGTGACAGCGACAATCTGTCCTCAACTGCAAGTCCTGAGGACCAGCTTCACTGGGCGAGTGGCTGGGGCCCGCGGGTTTCAGCTATCTCCTCCGGGCTGCTCGTCAATGTCCGTGGAACGGCCCGGGGTGGCTGGCGAGGCTGGGGCAGCTCATTGGTCGAAGCTGTCAGGCACTCCGAGGCGGGACGCGGAAAGAAACTCCATCACGTGAATGCCCCTCGGGCAGGATGTGGCTGGTGAAAAGTGTGGCGCAGCCAGCGTGTGAATGGCGACGTCATCGCTCTGCCAGACATTTGGCCAAAGCAGATTGGTGGTATACTCCGTAGACGCTGGACTGCCAGGTGTAAGTCTGACTACTGCTTTTTAAAGCTGTAGTACTTTTTGCCTCGTAGCAACAATTGTGGAATACATAGTTGTGAACAGTGATATCGTCCTTTAAGAACTGGCGTAACTGTATATGTGCCATGTCGAGTAAGTGCAGCGCAGAAGAAGAACAAGCAAAATATGTACCGATTAGAAGCTAATATCCACTGTCAGATAAACCAGATTACTGTATGTATTGTCCTGAGAAAACCTTACATCCAGTCTAACCGTGCAAACGCAGACAAGATCCTTGGGGTCTCGCCCAATGCAACACAGCAACAGATCCGCGAAGCGTACAAAAGGTCTGCCCATGTCAGATATAGTATGACTTTTTTTTCTCTAATACTCCTCCGCTGTCTACAGGGCATCTCTAAAGTCGCATCCTGACCGTGTCCCCGTCGACTCGCCCGAGCGACCCGCTCGCACTCGGGAATTCCAGCGCATCAACGATGCCTACTACACGCTCTCGGACCCAGGCCGACGGCGCGAGTATGACAGAGCCCGTCAAGAACACTTCCGAGATGGAGGCGACACAACCGCAGAAGAAAAAGAAGAGGACGTCCCACGACGCGGTGGCGCGGGGGGCTTTCCCTGGTCGACATTCGGCTTTGGAGGCCCTTCGGAGCGCGACCGCCAGAACCGCGACTCGCAGCAGTTCGGGTCGGTATTCGAAGAGATGCTGCGGGACGAGGGCCTGGCAGCGACAAGCGAGGAGGAAGAGGCCGATGGGCAGGACAGGAGAAGACGCACCACGCCGACGCAGCGGTTCTGGTCCATCGTCGGGGGCATCAGCGGCGGCGCGCTGGGGTTCATCGTCGCCAACGTCCCCGGTGCGCTGGCCGGGGCTGTCGCAGGCAACAGGCTGGGGGCGATTCGCGATGCCAGGGGGAAGAGTGTCTATGACGTGTTCCTGGAACTGCCGCAGTCGGATAAAGCAAGGCTGCTGAGTGAGCTGGCTGCCAGGGTGTTGCAGACGACTTTGAATCAGTGACGCGACTCTTTGCCATCATATTCACTTGTTTTATCTATTTTATTTTTTCTTCTTTGCTCTAATTTCGTGAAATATGTGAGATCGTGATCGTGCTTATTATTAAACGGCTGAGCCTGAGGGTAGGTACAGTACAAGTATGTATACAGAGTAGGGAAGGACTTTCTGAATAGCAAAGCGAGCTTAATCTCTAGTGGAGATGTACAGTACATGGATACATGCACTACTCTAGCTGCTTTCAAATCTATTGGTATCTAAGAGACAGAAATCTGAGTCAGTCGCTTTATTTAGTACATGCATCTTCTCTAGGGCTTTTCGACGAGCTTTTTTTTGTTCATTTCATTTCATTCTTTCTTCTTTGACACATATGAATAAAGTCTATGTTAAGCACCCTAGGTAACTACTTACATGCAATGAAGATTCATCCCTTGTTGTTTATCTGGAATACTCCTATATACGGAGTACTCCGTACTACTCACACTCCTAGGACGTCGCAGCTGCCTCATTCGGCTTACCGAGCAACCCGTGCAACTCCACTCTCCGCTCTCCGTCTAGCCCTGTTGGGGCTAGTGCCTGCACCGTGCTTCCCGCCGAGCTCCCGTCGGCCCCCACCAGCCCCGTCCTGTCGTCTGGGTTGGTGGCTGCCGATCCAATAATTTTAATTAATACCACATACTACACGACTCCAGGTAATGATACGGAGTACTCCGAACCATATGGGTACGGGGTTTGTATGTACGGGGTATACGATACGGAGTACATCGTCTGTCTACGTGTCTACGTGTATGTACGCTTCCTCCCATGATACATGTACTACGCTGCATTTTACGTTGCATTTTGTTTACTGTTGACGCAGTTAATTTAATTGTTGGAATTCTCGATATCGACCTTGTTATGATTTTGGATAGGAACGAGAGAGAAGATAAAAACAGGAAAAGAAACGAGCGGAAGGGGGGAGAATTATTGCGCATCGCTGCACACATATATTATGACTTTTTGTAGTTAGTTAGAGAAAAAGAAAATCGTACATTTCCCAGAGTCAATTACATTAATGCTCACATTGACATTGACATTCAATATTCAGTCAAGAATTCCTCGAGGAACTCCGTTTATTGGACAGGTCCTTCAGCTCTTGGCTGTCCACTTGCTCGCCACTGCCCGAGAAGCTCTGCAGCCTCTGCTTGCCACGTGACAGGTACACATCATCCAGGTTTCGACCGGCCAGTGTCGATGGGAGGCTGGTCTTGCGCGACGACCTCCCAAACAGACTGTTCCATAGATGGCGACATGCCGTTTGCGACGTGATGATGTACACGATGACGTTCCAGAAGGCTTGCAGAGGGAAGACAAAAGACGCGACGTAGTTGAGCGGGAAATTAACCACGCCGGGCTTCACCAGGGCATATACTCGGTTGACACTGGATGGGATCTGAAAAGGTGAGGGTTAGATTATCGATTCATACTCGACATTAGAAAAGAGACCTACCCAAGTGATCAGCAGTGCGATGAAGAACAAAAATGCAACCCGAGCATAGAGCCATGCCTCGGCATTCGTCTCGCGCTCGGCCACATTTCTCGTGATGCTTCGCATCCGCAAGGCCGCCGGCAGTGGTCTGCTCTGTCTCTGAGGATCGACGCGAACTTCGACGTGGTAAGGGTCAATGTCAGGATAGGTTTCAAAACCCTGTTGCCCACCAGCGTCCTTCACGATGGGGCGCTCATCGGTAGTGACTTCGATCTCAGTCGTAATCGTGTTGACGAACGGATTCTCATTCAGCGGGTTCAGGAAGCCATCAAGGTGCTGTCGCTTATCCCAGATGACCTTTGCTGCCATTCCATAAACAACGAAAGCAAACAAGATAGCAACCCTGCATTATATTGGATTTAGTCTGTGACTGCGGTGAACATCTATTTTCGGTCACTTACCACACGATACCATAGAGGAAAGCGATTCGCATAAAGTCCCATTCTTCGGTGATCCAGCACCAAATGATAGCTGGTCCGTAGATGTGTCCTCGGTCCTTAGTTGAGAGGAAGATGAAAATGAGGGCTGGGATGAAAGACAACCCATAACAAACCAGCAGATATGCGTTGTCTAGCGATCGCAGCTGCTCCACGGTATACCCCCGAAAGAAGACCAGATACACGTTGAGAGCCATGCAACAGGCCCAATAGCAGTCAACTCCCAAGAACATCTGGACCAAGAACGCTTGAAATTGACATAGCGGCGACAGCGGGCCAGCTGTCGGCCCGGCTTCAGAGATTAAGGCTGCGATATTGGAGCCCAGGTTTCCCCATGTTGCGAAGAAAATGAGTCGATTGATCGGTTTGTTGAAGCCCGGAGAAAAGAGATAGGTCAGAACGACAAAGACGATGCCGACGATTGAAATGCACGAGTTGACCCGTTCCGTCACCACCAAAGCCGTGTACTGATGTGGTGTTAAGCCTTCGATCATCTTGTCAAGATATGTACCTGGCTTCGCGGATACTGTCCAGTGTTGAGAAGGTCATGTAGTTGATGCAACGCCGTCAGTGGCAGAGCACTAGGCGCGATACATTGCCACCAGCACCGCAGAGAAGTCAGATGCAACAGTGAATAGTGATAGAGAAGGGGAGAACGGCCTCACATATACTAGGCGCCTGGAAGTGACATGCAGACGCACAACGCCACGCCATGTGGTGACAGCGCCAGCACGGCAGATAGTAAAAATTAGTGCCGCAGGGAAAAGGAAGCTCGAAATCCATGTGGTGAACCAGTTACTCGACGGAATAGAGGCCGTCTAGACGCCATCTCCAGATCTGCAAACTCTGTGACAGGCGCCCCTTAGTGATTCCTGCGGAGGGATTTAGCAGCCAGACCTATGACGAATCAAGGACGACCAAACACTTGGTGATTGTGCAGACCAAGTTAGATGGCCGAGGCCGGCAACGATGGTCAGTGTCTGCAGAACCCAGATGACTTAACACTATGTGGCTAGCGCGGTGAGTGAGGGCATACCACAGTTGCAGCCCAAACCGGCCCAGGCCAGACCGTCAACAGGCCGTCTTCCTTCGGGACTTTTTCTCTACTCCGTACAGATTGTGCGATAAGAGCGACTGCACGTCGCAGCTGGGACTAATAATTAATTAATGCCCGGAATGCTGAGACATACGTGTACGTATTACACCGGTGTGTTAGGAGTTGTAGTTCTCTTGCGCCGGTGCTGGCCTCAATTCAAGAGCATTGTGCATGCAATATATTGTATATTTTGCTTCATTAGTTAGTAATTGCGCTCAAGCCTCTCCAGCACATGGCGTGGCGGCAGAGCGCGCTGCAGAACTACAGTTCGAGAAAGCGATTAGTGATGCCAACAGTGATGAATCCATCATCGTGGATGGGAGCGGCATGAAGCACGCGGAAGCCGTTATTCTAATATGTTGCATGGAAGGATTGATCTAGAGACACCGGTTGGAATCCTTCCAGGCCCTAGCACAAGCACGGCGCCTACGCCATGAAGGCCTAGCCAGGCACTAAGCCTACGCACGATGCGCTAGGATGTCCTGAAATTGGTCAAGATTCTCGACCTTATTAAGGGGTGGACCCCAACCTAATACATGTTTAACCATAAAGGTATCTAGAACACAAACAAGCCCTGTAGATCTCACGAGCTACCCTAGCGTCCATGAATCCTGAACTACATATCAATTCGGCCCTCTATCCAGGCGTCAAAGCCAACCAGTCGTAACTCATTGGTTGGGAAGTGCCCTGATATTCGTCCCCTGCAGCGTTCACAACAACATCAGCTCTCATCCTCGTCAGTGAGTCGTCACACAGGCTTTTGTCAGTTTGGCCCCAACTTGGCCCCCATGTTGGCCCCCACTTATCCCCCACCCCCACACCTGGGGTTGGCCTTAAGAGCCTGATGATTAGTAATGTCTCGATGAGGTTTTTGATATTATCATTTATGCATAGAGCTCTGTAGGCACAAAGCCTCGGTATTCGTGGTCTTTTGAGTCGGCCGGGAGAATCCGTTCTCGCAAGAAGATTCTATACGGATCAATATTAGCAGCGTGATCAGGTATGGCAGATAAAAGTATACCATATCTATTGTTGTACCTAGGTAGGACACTGGAACACCAGTCATGTGAAAGAGTGAAGGCGGATAGCAAATAGTGTTAGCTGAAATCGGGTTGAATAACCGAGTCACACTGCATGTCAGTGCCGTGATGGCTTGACAGTCTGGAGATTTGACCTATCTCTAGGTTAAACTTGGAGTAGATCTGGGAGCAGGGATGGCGCCCCGGGTCGGGGGCCAGAGCTTACAGCCGAACGAGGCGAGAGAGCCAATCGGAACGCGTGAATATAGTCCGCAATGGGCTTAGCGGCTCGGTGGTTGCAGCAAATGGGCGTGCATGTCAGTGCCCGTGCACCTGTCATTCATGAGGACACTGAAGCCTCGACTGAATAATACCGATACATTCGACATAGGATTGTTATGCACGCTATTCGAGTTGAGTGTGATTGAAAAGATAAAGATTATAGAGAGTAATAGAGAGAGTAAGTGAGAAAAATCTAGGAATGCAATAGTTGTCAGAGAAGTAGAAGCAAAGCAGTTAATAAACTTATCCATTGAGCCATCATCGTTTTTTTTTTATCGGGAAGACAAAGCTCGAAGTCAAAGAAAAAGAAGGATCTTTTAATGACAGACTATAGGAAAACCAAGAGTTACACTGTTTAAATAATGAGATTGACCTATAGTTTCGAGTTTGATATGAGGTGCGGGGGAGAACATGTTTGCCTATCCTGACCAAATTAATCAGGTCAAGATCATGTGAGAGGGGATCCGAAAGCAGGAGTAGACGGAGTAGAGGGGTACCCAGCCACAGACGAGAATGTAGGATGCATATCTGGTAGTTCACCGCCTCCCCGGATATTCGTTAGCAGTTCAGCCTTCTTACCAAGGAATGCTGGCAGTCTGTAATTATAATTTACTGTTTGGCAAACCTCTTCCACGTTTACGAGTCGACATGCCAGTAGCAGTAACAGGTTGTTATCGATAAGCAAACCCCTTGATAGGCGCTCGTCCAACCACGTGTCGAGACCCCTCCTCCCTGCCTCACCGCCTTCATCTCTCGACCGTGTCCCCGCTAAGATCAGCTTCCCACAGCCCGCATGCGGTCGGCCACATTGCTCGATATTATAACACATTTTCACTCATTTAATTAGGTGCCTTTCCCTGCTGCCTCTTTCGCTTGACTGTCGTCTTTTTTTCTTTCTTTTAATTTCATTGGAGGCATATTATCAGACTCGACGACGCAATGACTGCGGAAGCCGCCAGTGTTTACCCCTCCTTGGAGAATCGCCCTGTTAAGGGGACGATTTGCCTGTTCGATGTCGATGGCACCTTGACACCTGCGAGACAGGTATGTTGTGATTCTGTGCATATCTTGCAATATTCTGAATTCGATGAGACTGCGCAACGTCCAGAAAGCTAACCCTGTCCTTGGCAGACCGTCTCGCCAGAAATGCTGGAACTCCTTTCTCGGCTACGCCACAAGTGCGCGATTGGCTTCGTTCGTCTTCCTGTCGTCTGATTACCTCGCATTCATTCTCATGTATCACTTCTAGGTTGGCGGTTCCGATCTCGCAAAGCAGCAGGAGCAGCTCGGCACCTCATCAATCCCAGTCACCTCTCTCTTCGACTTCTGCTTTGCTGAGAATGGCTTGACGGCTTACCGCATGGGCAAGCCACTTTCGAGCAACAGCTTTATCCAGTGGCTTGGCGAAGAAAAATACCAGAAACTGGTGAACTTTACTCTCAAATACATTGCGGATCTCAAGTTGCCCAAGAAGCGGGGTACTTTCATCGAGTTCCGTAATGGAATGGTCAACATCAGTCCTATTGGGCGGAACGCGAGCGTCGAAGAAAGGAATGAGTTTGAAGCGTATGTCTTGTCATGTCGCAATCTGCATGCAGTTGTTGCTGTGCTAATGACAATTTAGGTACGACAAGATACACAATATCAGAAGGGACATGGTGGAGGCATTGAAGAAGGAGTTCCCTGACTATGGTCTCACGTAAGATTCCCAGCTTTTAACCTGTTGTTCAGTTTGTCTGTGTCTGAGTGTCTGTCTCACAATACTTGCGCGATGCAGGTACTCTATCGGCGGGCAGATTTCCTTTGATGTCTTTCCCACTGGATGGGATAAGACCTACTGCTTGCGGCACATCGAGGCCGAGAAAGATATTTCGGGCATTGAATACAAGACCATCCACTTCTTCGGTGACAAATCCTTCCCTGGTGGTAATGACTACGAGATCTTCACTGATGAGAGAACCATTGGCCATGCCGTTACCGGCCCCGAGGATACTATGAGACTGCTGAAGGAGTTGTTCCAGCTATAGAGCTTTTGTCGGGAGCAAAGCTGCTGTGAAGATTATCCTACTATATACCACTCATCATGCTAGCTAGATATCAGAAGTAACCGAAAAGAAAATTTCCACAGTTGCGATATCGTGAATCTTCCAACTTCGTTGCGTCTTTCAGACTACCCTTTGGCATGAATATAATGACATGTACCAGCCATTCGTCTCACCGAGATCGACAAATAAATACCAATGTAAGTTGAGGCAACCATGGCATCCTCAGAGGAAGTGGAAAGATAAGATCTCTACTGCCCATCGTCTCTGGAAACCGAAGTGCGTGTTTATTACGAGAGGCAACACGATACTGTTTGTGTTAGGTATTACCTGTTACACAGCTATTCCGCTTTCGGCTTGTCTGGACTTGCTTAGTCATGCCGTTTCCCGCGGAGGAGCCTATTGACCGGACAGCGTCATCGTAGGAGACTGCATTCGACCATCAAATACATCCAGCCGACAATGAATTTACCCTTCGCATTCAACGTTCCCTGACCAGCCAGGATAAAGCTTCTATCATCAGAAACGATGGCGCGGTCGAAGCAGGTCGTCGAGGCGCCTCGCTTTCTCCTGCCTCGCCTGACCTGGAATGGTACTTCTCCCCGCATCACCCTTTCTCCGATTCAGACCGGACCGTCGACGAGGCGCCAGCGACCCCAACAGCGCTTCAACGGTTTAAATTCTCGAGATCGCCAGTTACATACTTCGACAATATCCCCTCGTCCGTTCTCGCTTATACTCGCTGCATCCCGCTCTGCAGTTTCGATCTCTCACCGTCCATCCTCCACCAAAAACCCTTCTCCAGATGCAACTGATCGTCCCACCAACCCCATCCGACATAACGGCGTGTATGTCGCCGTCTTCAAGCCGGCACGGCGCGCATTCCATGAGTCCGCGGTGATGGCCCGCGACCACCATTTCGACACGCTGAAGTTTGTGCAACGGCTAAAGAAGGAGGGCTTCAGTGAGGAGCAAGCCGTTGCAATGATGAGAGTCCTGAATGATGTGATCCAGGAGTCGATCCAGAATCTGACCAGGACTATGGTCTTGAGGGAGGGTTAGTCTTACCTTTTTTCTCATGCCCCTTGTCTTTCGGACTGGGTGGATAATGAGAATAAAACGGCAAAAGGGCCAAAGAACATACCTGTTTTATTCTAATGATGATCTATAGACTCGGAACGCACGACATATACGCAGAAAGTGGACTTTGCCAAACTTCGCTCCGAACTGCTGAACTCGGACTCGACCGAAGCGCAACTGACGCGCTCCTCGCACGAGCGGATCGCCGCCGACCTCGCCAAGCTGAATTCCCGCCTCCGCGACGAGATTGGACGTACCCAGGCCTCCGTTCGTTTGGACTTGAACCTGGAGAAAGGCCGCATTCGGGAGGAGGCTAACAGCCAAGAGATGCGGATCAAGGAGACGGAGACGAGAATCGAGCAGGAGGTCGCAGGATTGAGGGAGCGAGTGGAGGCAGTCAAATTTTCGACGCTGCAGTGGTTAATGTAGGATTTCTCCATTCCCTTTTTCGAGCAAGGATCTTGGTTCGAAATTACAGTACTGACTTGTTTCTACTACAGGGGCGTCTGCACCGGTACCGCGGCCCTTATTATCGGTGCATGGCGTTTGTTTATGTGAGAGGTGAGCAAGACGAGCAATATCTTGGTAAAGGATCGATTAAGTGGCTGGAATGCGTTGTAAAGTGGACATCATCCATAGAATACCCGCCCACTCTTTTTGTATTTCCTTTCCTTTGTCTGTACGATACTATTTTTCTTGTTTCTTCTTTCGAGTCAGGGCCAACGCAAGACCACAGATCAGATCTCCAAGTATACGATACCACATATACCTACCTAGCTAACAAAAAACTTATAAAAGTACCAATTATGTTCGCAGCTTTATTTATCATTGAATAGATCGTATCATAACTCGTCTCTTCTGAACCTTGCGAATATACTCTAGGTAGATAAAAATAAACGGGGATAGAATGAGAACAAGAGGAGGAGGACAAGAAGAAGAGGAAGGAAGAGGAGAGTAGCAAAATGACTGGTGGATTCACCCCCGGGCTGACCTGTCGTTGGAATCATTGTAGGTACCGCCGCTGCCGTCGTCACCGTGATGCAACAAAACTCCTAAAAGGCAATGACAATGACAATGAGACGATGACGCTGTCGTCATTCAGAGTTGCCTTCGTGGCACTCGAATGAAATGCTCTTGAGTGAGGAAAATTCAAAGAGCAGAGAGCAGTATCCATATTCAGGGGCTTTCTGTCTTTGCTTTGCTCTAATAATACGAAATTTGAATTGGAAACTTTGAATCTCTACTTATATCTACAGACTATGCAAGCTCTCCTAGGATCAATCTTTGGCCCGAAAAAGCAACTCCACGATCTTAGTGGTAGGGTGGCGGTCGTCACGGGCGGTGCGTTTGGTATTGGGTGAGTGATACTTCGAATTACTTCGTCGCTGGACACCAAGTGATCACCTGAGAATTGCTTCGGACATGGCTAATTTTTGGCTGTTTCTTCTAGATATGAGATATCGCGCGCTTTCGTCGAAGCTAAAGCCAAAGTGATCATGGTCAATCGAAACTGGGATCACGGCTCCGCAGCGATCAGGTCGATCAAAAAGGATTTCGGATCCGACGCCCCCGTCGAGTGGATCCATTGCGATCTGGGCAATCTGGAAGAGACCAGGAAGGTCTTTTGCACGATCCGCGAGAAGGAGGAGCGGCTAGATATTGTGCGATTTACTAGGCTGCCCGCTGTCCTGCTGATATCCTTCAATTCTAACCATCTTACAGCTGGTCTTGTCAGCCGGCATCAATGCCAACCAGTTCGCTCTCGACCACGATAACATTGAACATATCTTTGGTGTCAACTGGCTCGGGAATTTTTATGCGACGAATCTGCTCTACCCGCTAATGCGGCGAACCTCGAAGATGCCCTCGACGCCGGCTCCACGGATCGTGATGGAGTCGTCCGAGGTGCACCGGGCGACCCCTTCGTCTGTTAAGTTTCGGTCACTCGAAGAGATCAATGACTCCAATCTTGGACCGATACACCGTTACGCCCGCTCCAAGCTGGCGATGATTCTCGGGGTCAAGTACGGCCTGGTGGAAAGAGTGATCAAACCAAATGGCGACAATATCTATGCGATTGCAGTCCATCCAGGGACGGTAAGCGGTAGCTTGAGTCGCTCGACAGACTTTTAGTTAGAGATTGCTTGCTTAGACAATTCTTCCAGGTTAATACTGCGATACAGCAGCAGTTAAAAGACGCCTATCCCGGTTGGTTTGGCTCGTTGTTGACGAATCTGTCGCTGTCAATCGGTCGGAGCCCTGAACAAGGCGCCTGCAGTGCAGTGTATGATTTCTCCCACTCTTTATTTATCTCTGCAGCGCGATCTGACCTGGCCATCTAGTTATGCCGCATCCAGTCCAGAAATCGAGCAGAAAGGCTGGAATGGGGTTTATCTGACAGATCCGGTAAGTGACATCGGAGCGCACCCAGTTTCATATCTCATGATTTTAGGGAAAACTCGGAAAGGAGAGCTCGCAAGCCAGGGATCCAGAACTAGGCGCTGCACTGTGGAGGCTGAGCGAGGAACTGGTCAGAGAAAAGCTTGGCGAAGACGCACTGGCGGACTGGCATTCCTCTTGATGTCTTCATCCTAGGTATTTTGATATTGTTGATCCTAACAATACTACTCTGGACGACCGAATACAAAGAAAATAGTGGGCAGCGCTTTTGCCAATAACATTGATGAATATTAGCAACTATCGACATTAGCCAGGGGAAGCCCCGCCTGGTGACAGACCCGCAGCTGATAAGCTCCTCCGGGCCAGATCTCCGCAATACTCCGGAGTACACTCCATGCTGAGGGCTGAGCTTCAGCAGAAAAGGAGCGAGTTTTTTTTTGTTCATATGTTGCTGGATGTATCTGCATTGAATTTTCATTGTGACTGTTCCATTGTCCTTTTTTTATTGTAATGGATGTCGCTATGCAGGCTGCACCTTATCGCAGCCGATGATGCAAGACCCGACCGATGCGACGCCGCCCTGGCAACCTGCCTAGATTGTCATAGCTCCTACATCCACAACCCCAGCTTTGGAAGAGCGCCTTTAATAGAAAGGAGACAGTGCCTTTTTGGAGAGGGGACGATGGATGGATCCCTGATATCTGTGCCGGCCCCTCTGAGAGGTGATTCTGCCACCCTCCCTCTCCTCTCAGCTGCCCAGAACTCGAGTGGAATCTTCTCATTCGCTCGCCATTGCTCTTCCGGCTCACTTGGATTTCTGCTGGCGTCTTCCTGTTCTCTTATCGGTCTTCTTTGCTTTGGCGCTTTGCTTGCTGTAGGCGGGGGGATTCTCCGCGTCTGTCGCGAATCTCCTTCGTGTCGATTGCCATACTCTTGCAATTGCGATCTTGAAAAGACGATAAGATCCCGACAGGATACGTCAGGGTCTGCAGATGCGAACCTTTTGGTGGAAGGCAAGACGAGTGTGAACTTTTTTCCCGCAAAGTCGGCGGAAAGGACGTATCTTCAGAGAAGCGAACGCGGTGTCAATATAAGAACCATGATCATGAGGACTCTGTGTTGTCTTGTCTGCATTCTCTTTGGGTTCTACCCATTCGTGCTTGCGCTCGACGGCCGATCGGCACTCGTCCACCGTCAAGCCCAGCAGAATTCGAGCGCAGTACTGGTGGATTTCCAAGTCTATAAACCCGTAGAGTTTGTCCCCGAGAGCACCGGGTGCAATGAAGTTCTGTTGCTTATGGAGCATCAATTCGCGTTCAGTTATGGACATCCGTTCGTAGGTGAGAGATAAACCTGCGCATTGCCCGAATGGGATCGATCTGTCGCTGATGCCATTCTCGCCAGGAAACTACGTGCCACCCGCGTGTGACTTCGACACAGTCAGAATCAATCTCACTGTGACCTCGCAAGGGCGTCAGTACGACCGTCTGGCTCTGATGTTTTTGGGTGACATTGAAGTCTTCCGAACATCGACGGCAGAGCCGACTACCAATGGGATTATTTGGACATATATCAAGGAAATGTCGCAGTACCTCGCTCTGTGGAAGACCCCCCAGAAGCTGATTTTCGATCTGGGAAATCTCATCGACAACACTTACACCGGTCCGTATAATGTAACGCTCACAGCGTCTTTTACCAAGCAGAACAATGTCCGGGTGGCGGACGTCATTCTACCTATTTCATCCCGGCAGTCGGCTAACAACGTCTCGAGCGCGTTCAATGTCCCGGGGGACAATGCGACGGTAGCCCTGAAGATTCCCCAGACCGCTTCGCGGGCGATAGTGTCCATTTCGGCATGCGGCCAATCTACGGAAGAGTTCTGGTGGTCCAACGTCTTCTCACAGGATACGGACGACTTCAATTCCACCGTAGGTGAGCTTTATGGGTACTCGCCTTTCCGCGAAATTCAACTTCTCATCGATGGTGTGCTTGCGGGCGTCGTGTGGCCGTTCCCTATTATCTTCACTGGCGGAGTAGCCCCAGGCTTTTGGCGCCCAATTGTTGGGATCGATGCTTTTGATCTGCGCGAACCGGAAATAGACATTTCTCCATTTCTTCCCCTCTTAACAGACGGGAAAGCGCATTCGTTCCAGATTAAGGTTGTTGGACTCAACACTCCTCCCAATGGACCAGTGACGCTATCACAATCGGTTGGTTCATACTGGGTCGTTACGGGGAAGGTGTTTGTGTACTTGGATGATGGTACGACAAATAACTCAGTCAATGCATCTGAGCGAAGAGTGCTTCCAAAGGTTGTCGCACCGAAACCAGAATTCACTATCACGCGGAATCTGGTGCAGAACTCCCGGACTGGTGCCAACGAATCCCTTTCTTACTCCGTCAAAGGCAAACGAACTTTCAGCATCACATCTGGCAGTACTTCGTGGACTCAGACTCTGTCCTATTCCAACGTTGGACTGCTCAATCAGCAAGGAATAAGTCAGAGGAACATCCTAAGCACCACAGGGGAATCATCGTCCTCTGGAATTGGCCTCGATGGAACCCAGACCGAGTATCGTACGACTTTTAATTACCCGCTCGATGTCAATACGACTTACGGAATTGGCAAAAACTCACTGACCATCAACGCATTGATGAGCCGTGGTCTTGAGATATCTTCTACTGGCGGACTCGGCATATCCACATACACACTTACCTCTGGACCTTCCGATCTCCAGACAAAACAGTGGGGAACAGCCTACTACTCTTCCATCACGGGTGGCAGTTCCTTATCCTCTGGAGAGACAACTGATAAATTCACGGAAACGTCTGGAGGCACGACATACAACAGATATGTAAGAGCGGTAAATGGCACCGTCATCGATAACGGGCAGAATAGCGAACCGATTTCGCCTCTGGCGCAAAGCGGCTGGCGGTTCTCACCTGGAAGGGCCAGCGTGAGGAGTATTCTGGGGCGCGGACCTGGAAAACTTTATGGCTAGGCTTGTATATACAGTACCGAGTTCATGTTGATGTTTTTTCGTATGAACGTAATCAATGGGCATTCAAACTCGTGTGCTAGGAATACACGGCTTTTATGTCTGAAAAGCTGTATGTCTTACAATAGCATGCGCAAGTAGCACGAAGTATATCCATGACATAGTCGTTCCATCGTTGTTGTGCACCGAGGTAGTTGACTCGGTCTAATGTTCAGGCATGTCCAACATAGCGTCTTAATTTGCTGGACTGTATGAAAATACAGAGTATTGACTAACAAACGCCCGAGCCAGGACCTGCAACCTCAGGCCGGATTAGGTTCGCCACTTTGCCACTATTGCTGCCATTGTTAATATTGGAGCTTAGTCATCGTATAGACACCTTATTGTTCGTAACAATTGTATGTACCCAGAATAATAGACAGGCTCGGTCCAATCAGGTGAAAGCAAAGCCCTGAATGAAAGAGAGGTAGTTGAATGAGTACAGTAAAAAAAATATTTTTCCAGATACTCAGAGGATTGATTTACACTTCAGTCCAACTAAGTCATGCTCCTTGATCAGTGACAACTGCTTTGCTATGTCTATTCCTTGTGTAGACCGTTGGATGCCATGCACGAGCTTATCGAGATCGCGTTCTTCTCATTGGCCTCCACTATCCCACTGTGGGGCATTTTTCAGCCTTATCAGCACGTGACATCCGATAAGCCTTGAGGAGCCGTGTTCCTGCCGATAACTGTCGCCTCCCGCTCTGCTCCTACTCTCAACCCATCAGGGACAACGCATAAGGCGCAGGCAGCACAATGGTGGTCGCCAAGTGCAGCCTGTCGGTTTCAGGTAACGCATCGCCTTTGAAACCCGCTCCGTGGCGTTTTGCTAACTATGCGATCCATCTCGCAGGTGATGTCGCCGAGTCTCTAGCTGCTGCGATCACCCAGACATCCCGCGACGAGGGACGGCCGAACAAACGTCGCAAGCTGTCGAATGGCCACGAGTCTGTTACCCCGGATCCCACAGTTTCCTCTACAAGAACTCCTGCTGGCTATGTTGCTCTGGGCCGACTTCTTCTGAACTTCGTAAGTCTTCCCAATCTGTGCGATATTTCAGGATCAGAACTAAACTTTCGCTTCATAGAGTTTCACGGAACCAATCGCGGACTTAGGGTTATCCTTTGATTCTTCGGAGGCGCCTCCTCTGCGACTTCCCGTCCTCGTGAAGACCTTCCGGAATATCGACCTTTCCGAAGATGCCTACCAGCTGGAATTGGTGACCGTACCAGCGCGAGACACCGTCTTTGACCACACAATCGCCCATCCTGATCTAGTTGTCTTTGGTTCGCATTTGTCGCTTGCGAGGAGCCTTGCGTCTGTCGACAACTATCGCGGAAGTCCTCCTGTCGCCTGCTACCAGTCCACGCTATGCTGGCTCCCAGACGAAAGGTCATTTCAGTTGGTGACGGATATTTTGTGGAAGGACTCGCTGATCGTTCCGAACCGGCTGACCCGAGAGGCGCGACTTGTGCTTTCGAAGTATACGCCTCATTACGAAACAGATGATCTGCCAAAGGCAGAGCACAACGAGTCGCGCAGATCGTCACAGAAATCATGGTCGCCTCGCGATTTCTACGATAACGTTTACGTTCCACCGGACACGCCGGATGCATCTGCTGAGATAAACTGTGATCTGGTGCGGTGCAAACTTTACCCGTTCCAGAACAGGGCTGTCCGATGGCTTCTTGAGAAGGAGGGAGTGCAGTTACAATCGAACGGGAAGGTGACTCCAAGAGAACCGCAAATTCATCGCGAGGAGTTGCCAGATTATTTCCGAGAGTTCACGGACGCGGATGGCCGTCGTTGCTTTGTGAGCCACCTTTTCAAAGTTGTGGCCACAGACCTGTCGGGGTGGAACGACTCAGGAAGACACCTTAAGGGAGGCATTTTAGCCGAAGAGATGGGTCTTGGTAAAACGGTTGAAATGATCACTTTGATGTGTCTTCACCGGCGCGTACTGCCTATAAACGGCGCAACTGCCAGCGTCAACGGCGATGGCCTTGTGAAATCTCGTGCTACTTTGATTATCACGCCACCGGCTATCCTCGAGCAATGGAAGCAGGAGATCCAGAACCACGCTCCAACGCTCTCTGTGTTCCACTACACCGGCCTCCAGCGGCATCAGAAGTTGTCAGATGAGGAGCTTGTTCGGCTGGTGGCGGAAAATGATGTTGTTCTCACCACATACAATGTCCTGGCAAAAGAGGTGCACCACTCTGGCGATGCTCCTCAACGCAATCTGCGTAACGAGAAGAGATTCGAGCCGAGAAAGACCCCACTTGTCCGGATATCCTGGTGGCGTGTTTGTCTCGACGAGGCTCAGATGATCGAAAGCGGAGTCAGCAACGCAGCTAGGGTCGCTCGTCTCATTCCCCGTGTGAACGCCTGGGCTGTCACAGGAACTCCCATTCGGAAGGATATCAAAGATCTCTTTGGTTTGCTGTTGTTCCTTCATTACGAGCCATTTTGCAGCTTTCAGGACGTCTGGATGAGACTTTACGAGAATTTCCGACCCGCGTTCAAGTCTATTATTAATAGAATAGCTCTTCGGCACAGCAAAGACCGCATACGAAGCGAATTGCGTTTGCCTCCTCAGAAACGAGTTATTATTACAATACCCTTCACAGCAGTCGAAGAGCAGCATTACAGCCATCTGTTTGAACAGATGTGCGAAGAGTGTGGCCTTGATTCTTCCGGTGCTCCTCTCCGTGATGACTGGGACCCAGACGCTCCATCTACCGTCGAGAAGATGCGGAACTGGTTAACAAGGCTCCGCCAGACCTGTCTGCATCCCGAAGTTGCGGGAAGCAATCGTCGCGCATTGGGTACCGGGAACGGCCCGCTGCGTTCTGTCGCCGAGGTGCTTGAGGTCATGATCGATCAGAACGAGACATTGATCCGGGCCGAGGAACGCGCCCTTCTTCTGTCGCAGATTCGACGAGGTCAACTGCTGGAAAATGCTGCTCGTCGACGCGAGGCCCTTGATCTCTGGCAGAAAGCGTTAGACCGGTCTACCGAAATCGTTGAAGACTGTCGAGAGCAACTCCGGGTTGTGCGTGAAAAAGTCAGATGTGCTCATGGTGCATCAGAAACGGATGGCGACACTCCGAGCGACAAAGAGGATAATGAGGAAACTGATAAGAACGCTCGGGTGGGAACGTGTCGGCAAAGACTCAGGGCGGCATTGGAGGTCCAGCACATTTGCAAATTCTTTACTGCAAATGCATATTACCAGATCAAGACGGACACCAACCTAACCGCTCCTGACTCGGAGGAATATAAGGCACTCGAAAAGGCTGAAGAGGAAGCCTATGAGGCTGCAAAGCAGATCCGAAAAGAAATGTTGGCGGAGATCACGCGAAAAGTCGGGAAATACATGAAAATCATCGACGAGAAATTCAAACAGAACTCCTTTGTTCGAATTCCAAAGATGAAACCAAAATTCCCCAACTTCGGTCTCGAAGGACGAAGATTACTCGAGAAATTCGAAAACTATTGTGATGCAATGAATCAGCATGCTGAGCAATATAACGAATGGCGTGATGCCATGGTCAAGTTACTCCTCCAGTCTCTTATTGATCAAGAAGAAAGCGCGGAACTAGAGGGCAACGAATATGAGACTTCAACGAAGCACCAAGATGAGATGTACGTTTACATGGAGGCGCTTCGTACCATGTTTGCGGATCGCCATGACGCCCTGACGGGCCAGCAAAATCATCTCATTGATCACGAAGTCAAGATGGGTCTCAACCAGGCACAGAAGGGCGAGGGCCCTTCACCTCAACTCTATCTCTCGATTATGAAGACTCGCAACAAAATCAAGCCCAGGGCTGAGCTTGGTACCCTCCGAGGGATTATCAGCGAGCTACGTAGCCTTGCCACGTCGCTTGAATGGCAAGAAAGCGGAGGAAGCGCTCGTGCTCGAGCCGAGCTTTTCATTGTGAATGATGTACTTGCTCACGCCAGCCAGATGGCTAGTGAACAAAATAAGGCGATTTCCAGCTTGGAGAAAGAAGTTGAGCTGTTTCGTGATACAATGAACCACCGGCTTGAGTATTACCGTCAACTGCAACAGATCTCCGATACCGTTGCACCTTATGATGAGGAGAGTGTGGGCAAGCCACTCGATGAGGCCCTGTTTGCGGCAAAGTTACGGAACGAGGCTGCCATAGATGAGAAATTGTCTGGCCTAAGATCCAAGCAACGTTATTTGATTCATCTGAGGGATGAGTCGGGTCCAGATGACAGCACGAGGATCTGTGTCATCTGCCAGAGCACCTTCGAAATCGGTTTGTCATGTCTTCAAAGTTTCTGGAATTCATAAGAGGCTAACATTAACCTTGTTTTAGGTGTCTTAACCGTCTGCGGTCATAAATACTGCAAAGACTGCTTGCGCATGTGGTGGCATCAGCATCGAACGTGTCCGACGTGCAAGAAGCGTCTAAAAGCCAATGACTTCCATCAGATCACGTACAAGCCGCAGGAACTCCTCGTGCAAGAAGAAAAGAGTCCCACGAAACTTGAGTCTGACCGTCCTTCCAAGAACTCTATTTACTCCGACATTAATTCTGGGGTACTGAAAGAGATCAAGAACATCGATCTCGATAGTTCCTTTGGCACGAAGATAGACACGCTGGCACGCCACATTATGTGGTTGCGAGAGCATGACCCGGGAGCCAAGTCAATTGTATTTTCTCAGTATAAAAATTTCCTGGGGGTGCTAGCCACTGCGTTCACGCGATTCAAAATTGGATTCAGCAGCGTTGATACAAAGGATGGCATTGAACGGTTCAAGCACGACCCTGCGGTATGTAAATACAAGTTTCTTCCCTCTCTTATTCCAATTGATTACTGACGTCTGCGTAGGTTGAATGTTTCCTTCTTCATGCCAAAGCGCATTCTTCCGGCCTCAATCTTGTCAACGCGACTCACGTGTTTCTCTGCGAGCCATTAATCAACACTGCAATCGAACTGCAGGCCATTGCCCGTGTCCACCGTATTGGGCAACATCGACCAACCACGGTCTGGATGTACCTGGTCTCGGATACGGTAGAGGAGTCCATCTACGAGATCTCTGTCTCACGCCGCCTCGCCCACATTGTGCAGAAGGAGAAGGAGAAGGAGAAGGAAGCACACTCTCCATCTCCAGGGCTCCATAATGGGACGACGGTTGAAAACCTTACGGAGACAGCTATTGACTCTGCGAACTCGTTGGAGATGCAGGACGCGACGCTGGGAAAGCTGTTGGCAGGTGGCTCCACTGGGGGTGAGCTGGTGAGCAAAGATGATCTTTGGGAGTGTCTCTTTGGAGGCGCGCAGAGAAGAAAGAAATCATCTCCCGTATCGGCTGATGCCGAACGTGAAGTTGGGCGATTCTTGAGGGCGGAGGCGGCTGAGGAGAGAAGAAGAGAAGCTCGCTGTGATAACTCGGTTGCTGGATGAAAATTGGGACTTTTTTTTCTTTTTCTTTTTTTTTTACGTTAACGTGATCGGTTTGATACAGGGATATATACCATGGGAACAGGGTGTTAGGTGACGTCAAGTCGAGTTTTATTTCCAGATCTTAGACCTTTGTTTTCATTACTAACGAGAGATACCGGTTTCTGATTTGGTTGATATTTCATTTCAATATCTAATTTTTTTCTTTTTACCTGCAACATCAACTAAGTTGTAGATGGCAGGTAGCTCACCAGAGATACTTGTCCCGTAGAAGCACTCCTCGTATGTGCATACATGCAAAGACTTAATCGTTTCCAGATGTATCAGATGATTTGTTATTTCACAGATTTACATGTAGAAACAAAAAAGGTGACACGAAAGTCGTGAGACAAAAATACTTGAAACAATAGAACTGCGTTGTAGAAGATGACTAAGCAGGTTAGTACTGTGAGGGCATCTCTGTCGCTGCCCCATAATAATGCGGGATACTCCGTACTCGTCAGTGCACCACTGCCTAGCAGTGGCGGAGAACGAAGAAATATAAAAATAAATAAACAAATCACTTCCTTCTTTTTCTCCTCGATTCCAGTCCAGTTTCTTTCGTTTTTATAGATGATCTGACATGAAGTTTTTCTTTCCTTCCTTGTTTGAGGGGGGATTTTTATTTTCATTCTTTGATACAATACACATACATAACATCGCATACATAATCTAGCTAGGTATCTAGCGAACTAAATAAGAAGATGTCTGCAGACGCGTCGTCCGCTGCTAATAGCGCGGGCTCATCAGAGGCTCGTGAGCTGAGCTTAGTCTCGAAAGTCGAGCTGAGAATCGCCCTGGCAGACACCGACGAGAAGCTCCAGCGGCTGCTGCAGACGTATCTGGCTCCGCTGCTGCTCAAGCTGGCGTCGGAGAGCCTGGCCGTGCGCAACAAGGTCATCGCCGTCTGCCACCACATCAACACCAGGATCCAGCCGCAGTCGATCCAGCTGCCCGTGCCCGCCCTGCTGAAGCAGTTCAAGGAGCAGAAGTCGCAGCTGATCCGCCATTTTGACCTGATCTACATCCAGCACGGCATCGACCGCCTGGACCCGTCGGCCAGGGCCGAACTCCTGCCGGCTGTGCTCGAGGGCGTCTCGCAGCTGGAGACCACGTCTGATCAGGCTGCTAGTGTCTTCAATCTTGTTCTCAGGCTGTTGCCTCTGCTCAAACTCCCCAAGAAAGACAGCCCCGAGGACGCCGGACTTAAGGGGAAGCTTGCTCTGTCCGACGAAGATACGCGGTTTCTGTCCTCGTGGTTCGGGAAGCTGTTTCTCCTGTCTCCAGGAGGCAAAGATGCCCGAACCTGTCCAGGGCTTGCGCCATCTGAGTACCGTTTTCTGAACAAAGCGTCTTCCCCAGAGGAGACCTGGAATCCAGCCAAAAAGGGCGGACTGAATCTGACGGAGACGAAAGTCGCCGTTGCGAGATTCCTGGCAAGCGGCGCCTTTACGAACGCTGAGAGATTTCTCCCTGCTGTGATTGCTTCTGCAGACGCGAATTCTCGTCTCGCAGAGATTGGGGATGATATCCTCAAGCGATTCACCCCGGACCTGGAGGATTCCGACGTGGTGGAGCAGCTTTATAGACTCTATTTCGGAACGGAAGGTGATGATGCAGCGCCTCCTGTGCGGACTGCGCTGCAAGTCAAAATCCTGGGTCTTCTCGGGAGATCTGTCAAGGCTACGACGTACACGGATAGGATCATCAGATTACTCGACGAAGGGCTATTCTCAGACGCGGCAAAGTCTGCCCAGGGTCTACAGGCCTCTAAACTGAGATCGCAGATCTTCACATTCACCACCTGGGTGGTCCGAGTGGGTGCCCCATCTGACTTGGAGCTCATCGCGCCCAAGGCGATAACGGGCCTGAGGGAGTTTGTGGAATCGCAAGGATGGCCCGACCCAGGAGTCAGCGGCCAGAAGCTTTCCCATGCTGACCTTGGCCTGCGCGGTCTTGCTTACGAAAGTATTGGCATCTTAGCCCCCAAATTAGCAAGAAAAACTGCTGCCGGTGACCCAGACGATGGTCTTGACATGGACCTTTTAATCTGGCTGTTCAGATCTCTCGGCTCTGACGCCTCGGGCCCGGAGATCTTTGTCAGTATTGAACAAGCGCTCGGCAGTATTCTGAGCTCGTTTACGGGGACCTCCAGCGAGGACGTGCAGCAACAGCTGCGTACTTTTCTCATGTTTCAGATGAGAACTCGGCCAGGTGAAGACGATCCGTCCACGGGCTTTAAAATCGTTCGCAGCACCCGCTTCGCTGCTGTAAGATTTGCCAACCGCTGTCTACCATACAGTGATTCGATAGCGCGATGGATCGACCTCGTCGCTGTTGGGGCTGGAGTCGATGGACAGCGGGAGATTGTCGAGGAGGGGAAGAAAGGTCTCCATCCTTACTGGTACCGGCTGCTTAACCCGAGCAAGGACGGGACAGGGACAGCATCTACTTCAACCGACGTCGAACAGAATCCCCGTTATGAATTCCCAAGATTCCGGGACCTGCCTGTGGTGTTTGGCATGTTCCGGGCCCCGGCAGAATACGTCGGTGCGTTTGCACCAGCTGTCAGATTTCATAGACATCTCCTCATCTGGGAAGCGTTCTCAAGAGCGCAGATTCCCGTGCAGATCGATCAGGACTGGGAGAACAGACTCGACACGCTTCTTCGGTCAGACGAGCCTGCGCGTTCTGCATTGAGAGAATACATCCGGCATCACACGGAACACGATGTCATCCGTCTTTTCCTGGAGTCTGCTCTAGACGGTCTCCTTTCTAGGGATGGGACCGCAGCAACGGACTGTGGCACTGATTTCGTAGATGTGAGCTCTCTCACTCCGAACGAGATATTGAGCACTCTCGTCGACCGCGCACCTTCGTTACTGGATCGTATATATTCAACCAATGACCATGCGACACAGCACGTGGCTGCGCGAGCGTTTGGTATTCTGGCTTCTCACGCTTCGCTCCCCGAGGACGAGTGCCGTCGTTTACAGACTGAGCTGGTGCAACGTATTGCGAGTTGGCAGGGCGCATTTGGACAAGTAGCAAACCAGGTTCGAGGAGCGCTCCTTGCGGCAGCTTATCTTCTCGGCAGACTTGCATACCGCAGAAGGCTGCAAGTCATCCCGGATGCACAGGTCCGTCAATGCATCTCTACTGTTGTAGATGTACTGGCAAATTCGCGCGACTCTCAACTCCGAGAAGCGGCACAGTTAGCAATCGGCCAGTTCAGTCTTGCGGAAATCTTGAACCCAACGATCATATCCGAGATCAGCGATTGGAAGACGGTCAAAGACAAGCTAGTGGAGTATGCAAAGAAGGAACAAGAAACTGCGATCCGCACACTGGGCCAGATATCATTGATCATGCCAAAGGACGGAGACAATATCTCGATGTTCGATGAGATCTTGACGGCCCTTTACAACTTGCACGAAATCCGAAAGCCAGAGGTACAGTTTACTGTCGGAGAATCACTGAGCACTGCTGCAGCAGGCTGGAAGTCGAAATCATTGATTGGGGAGTTCGATGTTGACGAAACGCCTCTGGAGACCAATGTCCCCGAGACTGTTCTCGCAGACATGGCCGACAAACTGATAGAGGGCTGTGGCGCCTCTAAGCCATCGCTGAGGAAGGCGTCTGCGATATGGCTGCTCTGTCTTGTCAAAGACTGCGGCCAGCTTGATGCGGTTCAGACGCGCCTGCGCAAATGTCAAGCAGCTTTCACAGGCCTGTTGGCGGATCGGGACGAAGTCGTTCAAGAGTCCGGCTCGAGAGGGCTCACTCTTGTGTACGAGATGGGCGATCAGGATCTGCGAGACGATCTCGTCCGAGACCTGGTGCGCTCCTTCACTGGCAACACATCCAATCTCGGAGGGGGCAAAATCAGCGAAGAGACCGAGCTGTTCGAACCAGGCGTTCTGCCAACCGGCGAGGGTTCGTCCATCACCACCTATCGAGACATCATGAATCTTGCCTCCGAAGCCGGAGACCCCAGCCTGGTGTACCGCTTCATGTCGCTCGCGTCCAACAACGCCATCTGGTCGAGCCGGGCGGCGTTCGGAAGATTCGGTCTCAGCAGCGTGCTCTCTGACTCGAGCGTCAACGGGTATCTGGCGCGAAACCCGAAGATCTACCCGAAGCTGTATCGCTACCGCTTCGACCCTAATCCGAACGTCCAGCGGTCGATGAACGACATCTGGCGTGCGCTGGTCAAAAACCCCAATGCGGTGCTGGACGCCCACTTCGACGATATCATGGAGGATCTGCTACAGAGCATCTTGGCTGGCAGGGAATGGCGTGTCCGCCAGGCTAGCTGTGCTGCGATCGCAGATTTGATCCAAGGACGCCCGCTGGAGAAGTACGACAAGTACATGGGTGAGATACTGACGAAGGCATTTAAAGTCTTGGACGACATCAAGGAATCGGTCCGGATAGCTGCTTTGAGACTCTGCCAGGTCATTACCAACATGTTGATTCGCACGCTAGAGACCGGCGATACAGGCTCTAAGCGAGCCAAAGCAATACTCGCGCATATCGTTCCTTTCCTCCTCAGCCAAGAAGGCATGGAATCCAGCGTGCAGGAAGTGCAGGCCTACGCGATCACAACATTGATACAGATCATCAAGAAGAGTCCAGGAGTAATGCTGCGCCCGTTCGTTCCTCAGATACTGGAGAAGTTTGTGGCCTCATTGAGTTTTCTGGAGCCTCAAGCTGTCAACTACATCCATCTAAATGCAGACAAGTACGGCCTCACTGGTCAAGAGATCGATAAGATGAGGCTCTCGAGTATCCGCATGTCTCCCATGATGGAGTCAATCGAGCGGTATCTACTAGATGGTCTGGATGAAGCCAGCATGAAAGAAGTCGCAGACAGACTCGACGGTGTCCTCCGTTCCGCGGTAGGACTGCCATCTAAGGTTGGCTGCAGCAGAGTCCTTGTCTTATTGAGCACGAAAAGCCTTCTCTTCCGTCCATACGCGGATCGGTTCATTCAGCTTCTGAAGAAGTATGTCTTGGACCGCAACGATACCGTGAGCGTGGCCTACAGCACCGCCATCGGATATCTCGTTCGATTAGCGACCGATGATCAGGTCTTGGACACTCTCAAATTCGCCGAGTCACTTTATTTCACCGCTGAAGAGACTCATCACCGAGTCGTATCGGGAGAGATACTGCATTCCATGTCCAAGTTATCCAGTGACCGTTTTGCAGCCTTCGCAGCCGCTGCGTTACCCTTTGTCTTCGTAGCCAAGCACGATACGGATGAGCAGGTTCGGGAGCCTTTCGACAAGACCTGGCAAGACAATGTTGGCGGCTCTCGCTCCGTCGCCCTGTACCTAAAGGAGATCCTCAATATAATCTCCGAGCATCTCGATTCTCCGCGCTGGGCGATCAAACACACCGCAGCACTGGCAGGAGCAGATGCTATCATGTGCCTGGATAAAACTCTCGATCAATCTACTGGTGAACTGGTGTGGCCTGTCTTGGAGAAGGCGCTCGCTGGTAAGACGTGGGATGGCAAAGAGACCGTGCTCAAGGCATTTGTCAGATTCTCGGAGAGTGCCAAGGCGACATGGCAAGCCCGGGAAGATATCAGGACGCAGATGAAAGTGAGAATCGCCTCCACCCAACATAGTGCACAAAATGTCTCGATGACTAATTATCATTTGGCATAGGTCATTGCCCTCAGAGAGGCCAAGAGAAATAATCCAGTGTATCGCCCGCATGGCCTCAATGCTCTAGCTGAATTCGCCGAGATCAGGGACGACCTGAACCTTCTGCCAGACGCTATGTCCATCGTGGCCCCAATAGTCGAGGAGCTGACTGACGACGGCAAAATGGAAATAGACTCGGATAATTCCATCAAGCCCAGGTGAGTGGCGCTTCCAGGTGGCCTGAGCTGATGCGAGTAAGGTTATTGACGAACTCTAACCAAATTGATAGGAGCGAGGAGACGCTAGCCGCATGCGTCAATTGCCTTCTCCGATGCGTTAACCCCACCGTAGAGCAGTCAAGTTCAGGTTGGTTTGGCCATTCTTTTTTTTTGGATCGAAGATACTCATCGGAGTTCAGTGCTGAAGGAACACTTATCCGCAATCTCTGCCCTTGTCGAGGAAGCCCTGAAACGCGGCAGCAGGCCAGTCCAAGACGCACTCTATACTGGGCTGCAAACTGTTTTCGGAAGGATCGGGACGAGGTTGTCCCAGAGGGGCAACGACCAGCCTCTGGATGCCGGCGAGCTGGAAGGGGCCATGGGGGAGCTGGCTGATCGGTTGCTCTTTCGGGATCTCGATCCGACCATCGAGAGCCTTCGAACCAAACGTGCCAGGGCAGCGGAGGAATACATCGCCGTGTCCCGGCAGGCAGGATTCGGAGTGCGCGAGAGCGCGAGGCAGTCGATTGCAGCGTGGCTTACGCAGGAGCGAGCTGCGCCTATCCAACGCATTCTTAACGACGCCCTGCGGAAGCTTGACAAGTAGAGGGTCCAGTTTCCACGTGGGAGATCGACGGTAAGGATAGCAGAGACCGGGCACTGGACATGAGAGGGCGACACGACGAGGAGAGCAGCTTAGCTGGAGGAGCGAAACCGGACGGGGAAGGAGTTTGCGGCGGGAATGCAGCCATCGACTGCTCGGAGGAAATCGTAGATTCGTACCTACCTAGATAGGCAGGTATGGCCCGCTAGATGCCATGTGTCTGACAGGGGCCCGCCGAGGCCGCTAAAAGTCGCTAGAACGCCTAAAAATAAAGACCACCAAGGGCCCTAAATGGCCCCAAGACTGCCACCTTTCAGCGGCGCTGTTTTCCAGAGTATTTCTTAGCAACGGAGCTTGGCCGTCTTAGGCGAATGGAAGCGGACCACGACAGAATAGACGAATCGTTCTTTGCTAGAGTCCGTGGACCTGGCCGTGTGGGCGTTGACGAACATAAGCTTGAAGCTAAACTTAGACCGGGTTACTCCGTACAGACATCGGGGGGATCGAGATATATCATTGATGTCCGGTCTCGGCTCACTACTGCAGGCTGCAAGTCGCCGTGCTGAGAAGCGCAGAAGGGGCCCTAGTCAGTCAATAGTCAATTCCATAGTAGGGAGTAGTCGATAGATCAGGCCGACGGAGGCTGAAGACACAGGGAGACTGGGAAGGAACCACTCGGCAGCTGCCGCGCGACTTCCGAATACGTCCAGGAGGCGCCTTCTTCACGAAAGCTAAGCACCTTCCAAAGTAAGGCAGTCGAACCATCACGGGTCCGGTGTCTGCTCAGGCTTCTCTTGGAAATCCATCCTAGGGAATCTTACGTTACGTAGCACACATATCGAGGCTACGATGCGCTGTCACCATAGCACCAGTGGCAACGGACCTGGAAATAAAGATAAGCATGAATTGATTCCGAGAACACGCAGCCCTCCGTATACCGGGCAGGCAAGCTGAGCAGTGGTACGGAAGTCACGGGACGCTCGACAGGCGGCTCCGTGATAGTGGGCACTGGAAAATTCTCACTCTGGGCAACGGTATTGAACTGGATTTTAAATCCTAACACGTCGGATGTGCACCATGGTCGTTGAGGCTGCCACTCTTGGCAGTAGGGGATGGTGAGTCCTGTGACCTGTATGCGGAGTACGGAGCAGAGAGTGATCTACTCCGTATCTGGACGGAGGACAAATTGCACCGTAGACGGAGGATAAAAATAGCCTTCGCTAGTGCAGTTTCTGGACGATCGTTGGTCAATCAGCGGCGACGCTTTGGCCTCATTCTGGCATGCATGTGCAGAACCAGTGTGTTGGGCTCCTCGAGTGGTTCGATTTAGCATAAGCTGTTCCTCCAGCGCCTGCATCCGGTATAGCCGAGAACGCTGTTCTTACAGATCTAGCAGTAGTGATTTGTGCAGAATCCATGCAGAAAGCACCTCGACATCCGACACTCCGTGAACCTTGGGCGAAGACACGTGCCAAGCCATCCAGGAAAATATCCTGATTGGGTAGGGAAGCGAGAGCCACAGCTGTTCGATGGAACACAACGCATGCGCTGCAGGATAAGCATAGCTCCGCGTGGCGGCGGCACAACCAGAACAGCGGTGCAGGCAGTTGGAGCTCAGCCCCTTCGCAGTCGTTCCAGAACCCCGTCGCCCCCCCAAGACGCTCTGGCCCATGGTCTAGACGGCGGCCATGTCGGCAGACTGCCTGCTCTCCATCGCCGTGATCTTTGCCCGGGATACGGGCTATACGAAGAGAATGTGCCAGAAGGCAGAACCAAATTGGCTTGCGCGGAAGAGAGATCTCACTATCACTAGCAGGTTACCTGCTCCCCCACCTCAACAACCTCCAGCCTCCACAACGCAATGTCCACGTCTTCCGGCCTGGCCTCAGGAGGTCAGGAAGCTAGGCCTGTCCCTCTCCTGCTGTGTGTTGATGTGCAGCCCAGGGAGACGCAGCTGAGAGAAGAACGATCATGTCCTCATCTCCCACATCGCAGCCGGTTCACTTAGGGGGAAGTTCGGCCATCCCACTTGGCTGGCTGGCATCAGTTCTTGCCAGGCACAGGCCTGGCTGAACGCTGCTCCGATGCGGGTCTTGGGCCTTGCTTAGTAGTAATGGCGCCGCTGCATGTGGCCCTGCATGGCGCCATCGACTATGGGATACCCGGACACATGGTTGGCAGACGGTGTTAGATTATCGATAGATTGATCCGAGAATGGGGGCAATGCATCTTCTAGCGATTAGCTAGCGTCCATTCCGTATTTAATTTTAGACACGTTTAGTTATCCTTCCCCAGACGTGACCACGCTCTCTACTCGGCCCGCGGTCCGACAAGCGCTCGCAGATCCAGATAGACCACTTCCTTTTTTTGACTTGGCTGGTCTTGTGCATAAATAAACTATCCAGGTAACGACCTAGAAATCAGCTCCAAAAGCACAAGAGCAACAGCAAGAAAAAGGAAGGCAAAAATGTCTTCGCCACCTGAACTGGGGCCCGGATCCCTGGCCATGCTCGATCTAGGTAGTAGATATAGCCTCCTTTCCATTCCAGGGTAGTTCACTACGACTGGTTCCCTTAACCCGGGAGTCATGATTAGGAGAGCTCATCGTCGTCGATTGTCCATTCATTCCCCTAATATTTCTATCCCATCGTCACGAATCCTTGGGAAGTCCCCGTGATCGTTCTTGCATGGCTGGCGCTTGATTTGGTAGGGTTTATCGCCTCCTTCTTCAGCTCAAGCCAAGCCTTTGTATTAATCATCGTCTCTCAAGTCTTCTGGTGTCTGTTTCTTTCCTGTTCTATCCTATTGTCTACTTGTATCTACTGGTGTTTACTCCAATCTCAAAATCACATATATTTTGAGACCCTGATCTACTTCTACTAGTTGGCGACATGACGCTTGCCAATCGCTGAACGAAACACAAGAAGGGATACCAGACTGCAAAAAGAGAATAACCTTTTTTTTTATACACACGCCAGAACGGTCTCCCTAACCGTCCGGATCTTGGCAGGCAGGAAGCCAGGAATTTCGGGTGATGACAGTAGCAAGCATTGTTATGTCGAACAGCAGGGGCGATGGATCTGGAAAACAGTCGTTACGGTTACCAATAATTGCCCCCAAGGATGAGATATCTCCATCGGCCAGTACCCCCGCTGGATCGAGTACGGTCAATACGCCCGCAAACCTGAGCGTTCCCCCGCGTGTGCAGTTGCTGCCACGATCGAGGACAGGTTGCTGGTCAGTGCTTTCTTCTCAGATCTACTTTCTCGATAACCTTGGCTCACCATCTCCACAGGACATGTCGAGTGAGCACTCCTCTCTCATTATGGTCAATGTTTGGTCTGTGCTGATCGTGCTGACGACTACTCTTGTGCTTGATAGAGCCGCAAAGGTGAGCCACAGTACTTGTTATACTCCAAGATTGATGCTGACTATTATTCCCAGTCAAATGCGACGAGATTCGTCCCACATGCGGAGTACGTTGGCAGACACCCTTCCTGCCGTATGACTCTGGTCATTGACTAACGGGCAGATTGATAGCAATGCTCCCGTTTGGGTCATGTCTGCGATTACAGCCCCCGGCTGTCATTCCGCGATGACACGCCTCGGGTCGTGGAACGCATGTCTGAAGTATCCACCGCCGGGAACGCTGTTTGGGATCGTAAGTCATCGACGTCGTTTTCTCGCTCCCTTCTCTGTTGGGCATGGGCTTATGGAAAAATCTTTTGCGTGGATAGCGTCATCACGGATTCACTCTCCTCCTGTGTCCCCCGGTCTACCAGATTCAATGCCTCCATTCTCCATGTTGACTTCGGATGAGGAGCGTGAGAGGAAAGCCGAAAGCTCAAGCCCAGGCACTTACCATGTTATTGTGAACCCGGACAGCTTCTCGGGACTCCCAGAATATGCGGACGAATCGGCCGACGATTTGAATATCAGCAGCCTGTCACTTGGTAGAGGATCAGAGACCAGCTCGAGGATTGGCAATAGCCGAAGAGGCGAGCGGGAGAGCAGCATCGAAACTGGTGACCCGAATGTGGTCATTCTGAGTCGGTTTGAAGACAGTACCCACCGCTCCCCGTCCTCCCAGTGGAAGAAGTCGAGGTTATCCCCGGCATCAGACATCACGGCCGCCTCCTCTCAAGCCATCCCTGCTCAGTTTCCTGTTGATGAAAAAGGCCCCCGTCCACTCGACCGCATGGTCTCCCAAGGAGGGCAAGATGAGAGACTGCTCTCGCATTTTCGCGATGTCGTTTGGAGACAACTAATCCAGGGCCAATCGACCAGAGACTCGTCGCCCATTTCCAGTCCGATCTTTCCAAATGTGTACATCTTCGAGGAAGTAGCCTCTACATTCCGACCAGTGAGTCTTCCATGCTTGTCTCTTTAGCACTGTTGCAATAAACCCCAGGGATCCTAACCAACACGATCTTTTGCAGCTGTTCCACGCCATGATGGCTGTTTCTGCTCTCAGCCTGGCCCACAAAAACGAGGGGCAAAGCATTGACGCACTACAACATTACCAGCAAGCCTTTCCCTCGCTCCAAACGTGTATTCGAAGCGACGAAGACCTCAGTTCGGATGGCGTTTTCCTAACACACTTTCTCCTGCTGATCTATGAGGTGAGATCCCCAAAACAACAATCCACGCCCATCTCGAGTAGAGGCTAACTCAGCCACATAGATTGCGGCCGCTGAACCTGGTGGCTCCAATCTGTGGTCCCATCATATCTCCCGGTTGCTACGGATCTCTTTGATGAGGAACTCAACCTTTGGTGGGAAGGAAAAATACCCCTATATTATTTGGTGGATCTGCAGCATTGATTTGTACGCACTCTTTAGTGGAGCAGGTACGGGAGAATTTCTCGGTGCCATGCTGAAGAACAACATGCTCCCGAGTCCGGAATGTCAGCTCTACCCCCTGGCTGCCAACGGATATAGCGTTATCTACCCCGAGGAGAGTGACAGTCTGCCGGCCGTCTTGCAACTGTACCATAAGACCTTTGTCCTGGCAGCCCGTCTCGGATTCCTCGCCGCTGATCTCCGTCGAGGAAGCATCTCGGCCGCCTTTGGCGATGGATCGACGAGCTCAGGATCCTTTGCCCATGCGGCACAGCACTCTGGAAAGCTCTATGAGATCCGACACAGCCTACAACAACTGTGGCAATCATCGAACGCAACTTATCTTTGTCAGCGCATGGATAGTTTTCCGCAACGGCCAAAAGAGCTCCTCCAGAATGTATGTTTCCGAACACCATCCCTCTGCCCTCTCTCCGTGCCAGACGCTGACTGTTGACTTTAGGCTTTGACTTTGTATCACGCGTGTCTGATCTACTCATATACCAGCATGTGGCCTGGGCAGCGCATGGCCCCCGACAGCGCGTCTGACGAGGTGATCGGGCACCACGCGGCGGTGATCTTGCAGGTGGCGGAGAACATCGTCAACACGGGACGATTCGATCTCCGATTCATCATCTTCCCCCTCTTCATGGCGGGGACGGCCACGTCATCGGGCGACCAGAAGATGTTAGCAATGGACCTGATGTCGAGCATGGAGAAGGAAGGCCTGGGCCGCAACGCAACGACGACACGGAACCTGCTCCAGATTGTGTACGAGCGGCAGACACTGCAATTCATGACGGTGGGCCATTCGCTGAATGTGGATTGGGCCGAGATCATGATGGAACAGGGACTGCAAGTTGTCAACTTTGGGCTGTAATTGTATGCATCCGTGGTAGGGAGGTCTGGCGCGCGACTTAGTGTCTTCTCTTTTGTCTCCTTTGTTTCTTATCTTCAACTGGGCTTTCTAGTTTGTCTACGTCTACGATATACGATATATGAGATATGACGACATGAGCTGAGCACAATGGGGCATTTTCTTTCTTCTTTCTTTTCTTCTTTCTTTTCCTCTTCTGTTCATGTACATAGATCTCTGGATGCATTACGATGTAATAACGATATGCCGTTAAGTGGTACATGTATATTTATATTTTCCCTTCTCTTCTCATCAATGTGCTGGGTATTATTTGATTATTTTCGCCAAGGCCGCTTTAACACATGGAGGGACGACAAAAACTAACTCTATCCCAGATAAAAGAACCTTCGAGATCGGAGAATCTTATCCTGACCTTGTTATCAATACCTACCCATTTGGGAAAAGAGTCTATTAATGGAACGGAACTCGGGCCGGCGGCGGGTCGTTCCAGCAGATCGCGGTGGTTCCGAAGACCGGGCACGCTGCAGGCCATTCAGAGATTGTTCCAGCGTCCGATGCGAGAATGTGCTCTGGAAGAATGCACCATTGGTCTGAAGGCAGTCCTCGCAGCCAGTCGTCCGTTGCAGGGCTGTGCAGAGCATCACTAGTGGCCCTGTGACGCCCGGCAGCCAGCCAATCAGCATGCCGGGACTGCACCTCCGTAGCGCCCGCCCAGCAAGCGGCGGGCGGCTTGGGGAAGGCGCGGCCAATGGATGCGGGGTATCAACCCCCCTCCTTCCCCCGGGGCCTGAAGAATCGCATCCCCAAGCAGCCCGACAGCAGTCAATTCTCTGCAGGCGCGTCCAGCTGCCAGTGGCGTCTCTCTCTCTCTCCTGGCCATCTTGTACGAGGTATGTACCGTCCTGCCTTGCACTTCGCCATCTCGTCTTGCTTAGATTGCGTATGTACTGCACACACATACACACATAGATACATACGTCGTTTCAGCCCTTGGTCTTCTTCATCCCGTGTTGGCCGTTGTGCTGCATCTTGTTTTATGTCTGCCCATTCTGCATCTTCCTCTTAGCATCCCAGATAGAGCTAAAAATAACTCTCCGCAGCGCGAGATCCTCCCACTGTGCCGCGACTGGCCTGACCTTAAACGCCGGTTGAGCTCGCCATGAGTAGTAGCAGCAACAACCGCCATGGCAAACCTGACGAGGAGATGTTCCTCGACTCTCCCTCTGCTCAGAGACCTGGCCATGAACCGCCCATCGTGGAGCCCTTGAGGATCAACAAGAGAGAAACCCCGTCTCCGGCAGCTTCCTCGAACCAACACGACTCCTCCGCTTCCTCTTCCTCCCTCCCCTATCCTGACGACCGGCCCCAACCGCAGCAGACGCGCACCGGAAGCAGCGCCATGGGCCAGCCGCCATACTCAGAGACTGGACGGACCACAAGTCCTGCCCAGGCCAATGCTTCTCCAGCAACATCTACCAGCTCTGGAGGCCCGCGACCATCAGAATACCCTGCCGCTCTGCGGCCCCGCGATGGACGGGAGCCCAAGCCTGCAACGCTGGCCGAAAGACGAGGGAACGTGCCAAAGCCATTGCCTGATACTCCCGGTCCAGAGACCCCAGATAAGGACAGTCGCCTTCAAAGAGTTGCCCCAGGAGCGCCGGCCGCCCAGGGCAACAACGCAGAGAATTCGAATCATCATCTGGATTACCGCCACCAGTACTTTCCTCCTCCTGGTGGCTCGACAGCCCTCAATTCCTCGTCCGCGGCGCAGGCTCATCTCCGAGAGTCGAATCCCTCCTCGATCAACCGTGTCAGCTCGACTACGTCCATATCGACCACCCGCGCCCAGCGGGGATCTCCGCCGCCGCCAGAGACCCCCATTGTTGAACCCGGTCAACAACCGGGATCGGACATCGAGGCTCGATATGCCGCCGCCGGAATCGCGGGCACCTCGACGCTGGCGAGTCTGCAGGCTCAGAATGCGGCCGCCCAGCAGAGAGCGAACCAGTATGCCAATCGACAACCTCGACCGCAGCAACCGGTGCAGCGGCCCTGGACACCCACCGAACAGCCTGGGACCCAACCTCACGGGCCTCCTACGGTCTACCAAGGTGTCAGTGAGATTGGACCCCAGCAACATCCGTTGGCCGCTTCGCCGCCGCCGAACCAACAATCGGCTCCGGTCAATCCTCCCACGTCGCGGCCCACGATTCCCCCCAATGCTCTGGAGGAAGACTTGCAGCGCATGCAGATCAACTCCTCCCCTCCTCCAGCATACTCGAGCATACAGGGAGCCGATACATCGCAAACGTATCCCAACGAGAAACAGCGTCCAGCTGCAGGACCGCAAGGCCATCCTGCTACATCATCAGCGGCGACGACGGGAGCAGGAGCTGCTGCTGTTACCTCCACAGTTCCCTCATCTCAAACTCACCCCGCCTTTGCCAATGACCCTAGACAACAACAACAACAACAACAACCGGGACCGTCGCCACAGCAGGCTCACCAAGCCGGGGTGCCTGCTGACCAACATCCCCAGGTCACCGCATCTCCCGCACCGAGTGGAGTGCCTCCCGCATCGCCCCCTCCCTTACCGGAGGGCTGGATCGCTCATTTGGACCCAAACTCCGGACAATACTACTATATCCATCTGCCGACGCAGTCGACACAGTGGGAGTTTCCCAAGGGGCCTACCCCCCTGAACCTCAACGACACTCCATTGTCGCCGGTGGGAAGTGTCTACAGTGGTCACCCTCTCGCATCACCGGGCCTGTCCACATTCGGAGGCAAGCCACTCGCGTCTCCGGGAATCCCACTGACCCCTGGTTATGAAAGCTTCGCCGCTGCAGCTGCAGGTCCACCTCCTCCGAGCAGCGGGGTAGATTTATATAAAGTGGCGCCCACAAACGGGGTCTACTTTGGACCCTATCTCCGATATACCAATATCGATCTGGAACGGGGGATCTGGCTGGGATCTATTCTTCTCGTGACTGATGCCCCTCATCCGCCCACCATCCATATCCATCAAAGCATCGATCTCTCTCCGAATCCCCGGCAGCTGAAAGCCGTCAACATCGCCGTTCACCGGCGGTGGACATTTTACAAGTATGAAATCGACCTGAAGATGGAGGACGGTCCGACCAAATGGACTTATGCCGTCACGTCCCACCTGGGGTGCACCCGCTACGAGTTCTTGGTCGCTGGTCGGCACGAGACGAATTGGCGGTTCATTGCAACCTCGGGCAATGATTTCGCTATCAATGTCAACGCCAACGAACGAGCTCGCCTTGGGGGCGTGGGATTCATGTGGAAGGACATCATGCAGAAGCATGCAGAGATTGGAGGGTTCCATGTGCAACTAGGCTTGGGGGGACAGATCTTTGCAGACCGTATCTGGAAGGAGATCCCCTTGCTCAAGCAATGGCTGGCAACCAGTGGAAAGGAGAACCGGAAGAATGCCCCGTGGACGGCGGCTCACGAGGAGGATGTCACTCATGCGTACTTCCACTACTACACCAGCCACTTTGACCAACCGTATCTCCGGGAGGCGTTTGCTCAAATCCCGTACATCCTGCAGTTGGATGACCATGATATGTAACGTTNTTTCCCCCCCCCCCCCCGGTCCGCCTCCTCCTATCCCGGAAGCTGACTGTCTGAGAAGATTCGACGGGTTCGGGTCATACCCTCCGCACATGCAATTCTCGAACATGTTCAAGAACATTGGACGGATCGGGATCGAGATGTATCTGCTCTTCCAGCATCATACCACCCTCGAGCTACTCCGGAATGTCAACTCAGACATAGATCTGTTCACCATCACAGGAACAGGATGGCATTTTGTGAAATATCTGGGGCCGGCCGTCGTGGTCGTTGGACCGGACTGTCGTTCAGAACGGAACCCACACCAGGTAATGGCTGGGCCCACGTATCAGGGCCTATTCCCTAAGATCGCAATGCTGCCGCCCAGTGTCCAGCACTGTATCTGGATGATTTCCGTGCCTGTGATCTATCCCCGGATGGAAACGACCGAGCAGCTGGCGCAGGCCGTGGCTACGGGAAAGAAGGCTGTCACGGGCGCGTACAACCTGCTCGGGAAAGTAACCAGCTCGGTGGCCGGCGTGGTCGGGGCCAAGGACGCTGTGGGCTCCGGGTTTGATGCCGTGAAGCGAGCGGTGGGGAAGTCGGGCCTCATGGGTGGCGTGTTGAACTCCTTTGGGGATATCGACATACTCGACGAGCTGAGAGATCAGTGGACGCATGAATCCAAAGATCTCGAGCGAACATACTTGATCCGAACGCTGCAGGGGATCGCGCGCCAGAAATCGATCCGCATGACTTTTATATCTGGTGCAGTCAATGTTTGCGGTGCCGGTCTGGTTCACGATCCGAGCCATCCCAACGACCACAAGACCATGTACCAGCTCATCGCGTCTCCGATAGTCAATACACCGCAGCCGTCGTACATTTTGAAATTGCTCCACAGCAACAAACCCTCGTATATTCCCGCCAACGGACAGCGGTCCACCCCGTCCCAGCCGACCGACACCAAGGAGGACATGCTGGAGCTCTTCCAGACGGAGGTAACGGGCCAGCCGCGCGAATTCCGCCGCCTCATGGGCCGTCGAAACTATGTAGCGGTCGTGGCCTTTGACCCGGACGTGGTGTCGGGCACTGGGCAAGGGAGCGGGAAGCTCAGTCTGGCAGCGGATTTCATGGTACAGGGTGAGGGAGCTTACGCGAGTGTAGTCAAGTATGGGCCCGTCATTATCCCGAGTCTGGAGTATGGTAGATAGTAGTCTTATTTTCTTTTTTTTTTGTCCCCTATTTTGTCGTCCATTTTTGGCCATTTCCACTCAACAGCCTATTCCGTATAAGCGATGCAATTTGAGACTGTTTCCTTTTAGTGTTTAATGTACCACATGATAGTACATATTATCATCATTATTGAAGATTACTTATTAGCTAGCCCATTCCGACTTGCATATGTGTTGCCCGGAGAGAAGATGAACGCTATTGAGAAAGATATTTTGTTCCTTAGCAATATGTAAGGAGTGCGTGGGATAATGGAAGGTAGACGGAATAGAATTTCGTGCGAAGTATTATCAAACTGCTTGCTCTTATCTCCACGATCCCGGATCTCCACCCGGCACGCAGAGACCGATTCTCCAGAAATAGTCCCTGTGGGCAAAGAGAAGCTCCCATAGTCGGTACCTCGATGGAATGAGGGACCACTGCGCGGACAGTTGCCCAGACTGCTGCTGCTGCTTCAGAATCTCTGCAGGAGAAGAGTCTTGCGGAGACGACCGGAGATCTTGGACCGACAAAGCCAGTGATTCAGACCTGTCTACTCCCGCGATACATCGTGGATCGGCATCACCGTCGCAGTGTTCCAGATCGGAAACCGAAGGCGGAAGATCCAACTTGGAGATGTAGATCTCTCCCGCGTGCATTCTGTACCCCCACTCTTCCAGGGGCAGAAGCGGGACGGGGTCGTTGACGTGCGTCACACGTCGATATGCGATATTGTCATCATCATCTTCTTCTTTCCCGTCATCTGAAATGAGGTCAAAGACCTCGTCGATAAACTGCGCCAGAGCCAGGTTGCCTACTCTTGGTTCTCCAAACGTCGTCACTCGGGGACTCCAGCCGCGAAGCTTCATCTCGAGACCTGCAAGAGCCGCGACAGCACCTCCTAACGAGTGGCCCACGAGAACGATCTCATAGTCCGGATACTTCGCCCGCGCCTCGGCCACAGAGGGCAGCACAATCGACCGGGTATTCTTCCAGGCGGTCCAGAAACCGGCATGGACCGTGCAATTGGTGCACCTTTTCTTCTGTGTGTCCTCGTCGTCATCATCGTCCTCCCCGCCATCGGCAGGATACGGGACATAGGCCTGAGGAACGGCAGACAGGTCGACGATCGTATTCGCAAGCGAGTACGTGCCGCGGAAGGCGACAACAATTCGCTTTGCGAAAGGTGGGTGGGAGAGCGCAATATATCCACTGGAGTCAGCAAGTAAGGGGCCCGTGTTCCAGGTCTAGATAGTAATGAAGAATTTCCAGTATTGAAACGATTAGCTAGATTTTCTTTAAAAAAATGTCTCTCTAATATGTAGACGTTGTGTACTCACCGTAACCAACTCAAACCCGTCAAACACACTACAATGACTCAGGCATCGGAACGGCCGATAGATCCCTGTGGTCCCAACACAGTACGAGATGTCGACCAGCCTGGCGAGCTCTTCGAGGTCTTCGAACAGCTCCGTGGAGACATTCCGATGTTTCCCTGTTCGTGTTTGTCCGTCTGTTGTCGAAAGGACAAGGTTTGTTGCTGTTGTTGCTGCTGCCGCCGCCGGCGGAACAAGATGTGCCACGGCAGAGGAAAAGATGACAGCTATAGCGAGAAAATACCGCCTCATTGCCGCTGACTCTGCACGAGAAGCAGCTTCAAGGCTGTTCGATTCATACTATCCGGCGCTTGCCACACGTTGAGACGGGTTATACCAAAGGAAGAACAAGGGGGAAAAACCCGAGGATATGTTTGCGGGTAGTGATACGCCGAGTCCCTGCCCTGTCACATGGAGGAACTGGGACGATCAGCTGTTGCGGTTGAGGATGATGTCACGGCATGGACGATGACTTGGACAGGGCAATGGTCTAGTCACAAGCCACTTCAAGCAAAATCCGGGGAAGTAAAGTTAGACTAAGCAAGGTCATTGGGGACGCTAAACCCGTTCGGGTTCGCGTCCCACAACGTCTCTCTATTGTGCGTATCAGCTGATGATGCTACGATTCTCTCGTCCCTAATCGGCTACGCTGAAGGTATAATGATACGGCTGGAAGATCTGAAGGTTTTGATGAGAAGTTCAATAATGTCCTGTAATGATCCGCAGCACGGAATATCAATACTCTGTACAGCAAGACCAGCTTGGCGCAGCTATCTATCTTTGCACACAAGATGGTGCTTGATGCATGGCGGTGATTACACCTTAAATAGTCCAGATGACAACCCTTCCGTCGACACCACTCGCTATCAATGAGAATCATGTTAGTTCTCGGAAATTCCAAAATCATGCCGCGGTGGAATCCTTACTGGAATATTTCCTGACCACTCCACCACTCTCCTCATATACCCGGATGATACTGATAGTGTTTTGATGGACGGTGTTGAGCTGGGTATCATCCTGAGTCTGTCCCCTGAGATCCATCTGGCGGAACATGTTCAGGGCAGATTCTTCGCGAGCGCTAATAGCTCCAGGTCCCTTCTTATGTTCCATGGAGCCTACGAGCTGCCACCCGTTCTCGTCCCCGCGCAGCCGATAAGCTTCACAATCCTACAAGAGCGGTCAGACTTCGTTCTATATTTCTTGAACACTAGGTAAAGGCTCACATGTCCAGCGGCAATAATCTCGTTCTCTCCATTCCAGATCAAGCTGGTGAAAGGCAAGAGCCGGGTGCTGATATTTAACATAGCCCGAGGCGGCTGTTCCGGCGCGCTGGGATAGACAACGGTGACGCTGCTGTCGTGAGAGACAAACGCGAGGACATTTCCACTCGGAGAGAAAGAGACCCCATGCACCCACCCGGCAGTATCGTTCAGAAACTCGCCACAGACGGTGTTGAATGGAAGGCGTTCACCCCATGCGGTCGGCTCAGGACGCTCATCCACACCTTTGATGTAGCTGGAGAACACTCTGGCATGTGAGTCCGTCGAGCCGGCTGCGAGCAAGACCGAGTTCGGATGCCATGCAAGGCTCGTGATCGTGCTGCGAATGGGCTTCTTCAAGTGCTTCGAGATCCACCAATCGTTCTCTTCCTCGAAGTAACAGACAGCAATCACGCGGGCTCCTGAACCGACGGCAAATTTCTGCTCGGATGGAGACCAGCGGACGCAGGTGGCCGCACGGTTGATTCGAAGAAGGACCAGAGTAGGCTTCCATCCCGTGGGGGTTCGTTCCCAGACATAAGCATTGCGATCTATAGGAAATCAGAGTGAGACGCTGTCCGTACGGAGTCGAACTTCGAGTGGGCGCACCTTGAGAACAGGTGACAATGCGCCCACTATTGGGGGCAATATCGACACCAGTGACAGTCTTGTCGTGGCCCTTCAGTTCATCTTTCAGGGAAAACTTGTTGCCTGTTCTCTGGTAGAGCTCGACGGCGTTCTCCCGCGCGACCGCGAGAGTGTTCTTGTCACTGGAGAAGGAATGATCCGCAATGGGATTGTGGAAAAGGTGGTGGACCTCCGGGGCAGCCATTCCGGTCAAATCCTCCCGACGACAGGAGTAGCTCTCTACTGTCGCCGTCTCAAAGCGATGAAGATAATACAATAGTTGCAACGTGGGGTTGTTGGGTTTCCTGTGTCGGACTGGGCTGATGAGTTCGATTATGTAACAAATCACGTGCACAGCTCCATCGAACGGGTAATCGTCGCGGTCAACTCAAAAAGTGTGCTCTCCACGACTGCAAAACCCGCCTCTCACGGAGCATATCGCGTTTCGCAATATCTACGCGCCGACGCGGAGAATTTTCTTCTTTCTTCCTTTGCGCTGTATTCAACAGAAATTATTCCATTGACCGTGTAAGAACCTGGAAAGGAGCTTCGTCATGGCTACGAAAACAACTACCACGCGCAATGGCCCTGCAGGGGGCAAGGCTGCTCCGTCGGTTGGTGCTCCAAATCAAACGTAAGTTGTTCCTGCTCCCCAAATCACACATGGTCAAACAGAGCGCACTAACATTGAAAATAGCCTTTATATCAAGAACCTGCCCGACAAGATTAAGAAACCGGATCTCAGAACGGCCTTGTACACGCTTTTCTCGACCTACGGCACCGTTCTTGATGTGGTTGCCATGAGAACAGAGAAGATGCGAGGACAGGCTCATGTCGTGTTCAGAGACATCCAGTCGAGTACGCAGGCCATGCGCGCGCTCCAAGGCTTTGATTTCTTCGGGAAGGAGATGGTGAGCGCTTCTGTCATCCATGCGTGATATGGTTTCAGGCAATGTGCCGTTGCTTACACTATGAGATTCAGCAAATCGCCTATGCCAAAGGTACCTCCGACGTGATTGCCAAACTCCGTGGCACCTACGTGCCGAGTACGGCCCCTAGTCAAGGCGCTGGTGTCTCGACGGAGCTGCAGAAATCCGTCTTTGGCGGACCACCCTCCGCGACTACGGCAAAGCCTTCTGAAGCCGCGGAAGGCGGGAAAGAAGGAGAACAGAAACCACCCCAAGGTGTCAAACGTCCGCGTGAGGAGGAGAGCGACGAGGAAGAGGCACCAATGGATGAAGAGAGCGATGTGCCAATGGAGGCGTCGTCGGATGAAGATTAAACTGGCCAATTCTCCGTCCAGGTCTTCCTACTGCATGACAGAGTCATGGTCATTTTTCCTCTTGACATGGACCGGATGGACGCCGATCACTGCGAACAAATGACATGTCACTCTGTGCAAAAAGACGGCTTGGGACGGACAGATTGACGCAGTTGCCTACTAATCCGAGCCAGATGAGCAGATAGGCCTCGGGATCGATGTCTCTGTCGCCCACGATGTCTTTCATGGCGCTTGCAGTATTACAGGGGTGGACAAAGTAGGCAGGAACGCCGGACTCTGGATGATACTGTCCATCGTGAGTTCAGAGATAGCTGCTGGCGTTGATTTTACGCGAGGGAGTTCACGTACTCCGAAGCTGATGCCTCCCATGACACCGACATTTTTCAACGGCGACCCGTATTGATGTGGAACAAGGTATCGATATACTGTGTCAATTGTGGGGGGTCCTACTTGAGGGATAGCCGGGAAGACGAAGTACAAGACCGGCACCTGATATGTCGGGGAGAAAACAATATCGTAATCAACTTCCAGGCGAGGACTGAGGTCAAGGTTGGATGTGCGGATGAGGGCTTCCTGTCGGGATGATATCAGGAACACTTGTCACCTTACAGTAGAGGCAAAAAAAATTGACCAGGATGGATCTCACGAACATGATCATACTCTTCGAGCAGATCCTTATGTGATTCGTCAATTTCGGTGGCGTCTGGCGGTGGCTCGGTGTTTCCCGTAGAGTTGCTAGTAGTCGCGTGCATAGTGCGTTTAGATATTCTCAGAATGGATTGGTTTTGCTAGGAGACAATTCCGATGGCTGCATCAGCATATGATACATCTTGTACATTTTTTTTGGTCTCTTAGTCTTGGATGACAGCATATTCTAGTGGAGATATAACGCGCTTTAACGAGGCCGTGGAGGAGTGAAGGGAGCTAAGTGGAATCGCTTCCACCTTCCCTCTGTTCTCACACTCACCTCTTGCAACCATCGTACCGACGACCAGTCCAGCTCTTCAGGCCCTCCCACGGCATGGACTCGGGCAGTGAGAGCTGCGCAAGCGCGGCGGAACTCGGCGGCCGTCAGGAAGGGGAAAGCCGACAATCCCGTGCGCGCTGGTGTCGCGTCAGAGTCCATGGCGAGGTAGTCCGAGAGCTTCGTGCCAGCTGCGACGAGCCCGTCACGCCCGTGGGCAAGGTGCTTCCAGTACGCTGCTTTCAGTGGGGAGACAGAAGTACAGTACAGGACCGAGTATGCGTGTACTCAGAGTACGGAGTACAGGACAGCGGTGCCAATGTCGGTCTAGACCTTTTTTGTAAAGCGCCGTCCGCAGGCCGACTTGCCATATCTACTGTACAGTATCTACCTACACGATAGTTCTGCCTGTGGAAGTGCTAATTACCATTGATACAGAGAGTACGTCCTTGCAACGCCTGCAGCAGTAACTGGTGACTATCTGCCCAGGCCAATGTGTCGTGAATGGCGTGGTGGGCCGCAAGCGGCGAGTGCTCCGGCATGGCTGGGGAGCTTCCGCCCTGCCGCAGCTCCGTGACGATAATCAATTCCTCTGCTGCAGACCGACTGCAGGGCACATAACCGGAATCAGCTATAGTTCCCTTTGAACCGCATGGTCCCTGGATTTCCGAAAAGAGGAAATGTCGGCTTGATACACGCAACAGGAAGACAATCGTCGATTCTCCGAGTAGACCTTGGCCAAGCGCGCAGGAGCTCCATCTGCCATGCCAATTCATAGAATGTCCATCGTACTGGGGCTGGCCGCGTGCGGGAACCGTGGATGCAATGGATGGCCAGCATCCACCACATCCCCTGCCGTCCTCCGCTTTCGATACACTTGGTCTCCTGCATCCTGTCACACTTGATCGACGACTGGCCAGCCTGGAGTCTTGGCCTGGCAGGTCAATGGACGCGCGCAACCATGGGCAGCGCTTGTCTGGCGCTGCCAGCGTCTTGTCTTCAGAATTCGGTGTCACAACAGAGCTGCGATTGGTTACAGGCTCCAGTTCCTGGACCTGCTGGCTGAATTGTCATCATGGTCCCTGAGAACAAAAATAACAATCACAATCACAATAACAATCACTTTGACGCGTTCGTCGCTCTTGTTTAGACCCCTCCAATGGTCCTCCTGACAATCATGGTTATAATAACTGCTTCCCTGGTCCCATCATGGAGTCTCCGACCCCGCTTTATGACACCCTGCAGGACATGCCCGCCCTTCATGGAACTATTATTTCTTGTTAGCCCTGGCCATTTGACTCCGATCGTTCGGAGCACACCGCAGCTTTCCACCAGGGTTCATATTAATTACGATTGAATTCTGGATTGCCCCTTGTTGGCCCTCTCTGGCAATACGTCTGAAACCAATCACCGACTGCCTGGTTCATGAGCATTGATTCTTCCGTATTGCTTAGCGTTTCAGCGGTCTCCTGAAACGTTAGTCTGATCGGTCAATTAAACAAAGCGTGCGCCAGGACTGTCGATCACCGAATCTGGCAGCTCTGGCCATGGTTGCTATCTGATATCGCGCGAAGGCAAAAGCTATTGCAAAAGAGCCATAGCGCGTTCGCAAAGAATCTAGCCGTGGCGGAGTCTGCGACTCGAATGGGTGTCTGTGACAGAGGGTCATAGGGACCTGGCCGCCATCCGTGTTACCCTGCGCAGCATCCACAATCGTATCTTGGGCGTGGTCGGCCTCTTCCTCGCTGCACGGCACCATGGGGAATCTACCGTCCAGGGAAATGCGACCCGAGCGACGCAGCTCGAGGCGTCTATCGAAGCCACAAACAAACACGTCGTCGTTCAGTCTTCTGAGATCTGGTTCCACCAAGCGACAGGCCAATGCGAACGATAATGCTCCTGTGCTGTCCGACAGTTCGATGATGTGGAAAAGTCCTTGGACCGGGGATTTACTACCCAAAGCTTCCCCGGAGATTGACGAGAGTGACAAACGGCGGGTGCGGTCCCTTCCGTCCTTTTCTGCTCTAAATCCAAGGCCTTCTCGGCCCTCGATCAGCGGCAAGAGGCGTTGGTCAAACCTTGAAGAAATCAGGGGGAGAAAACATGAACGCTCCTTGTCACATTCGAGCTCGTTCGTTTCGAGACGGCTCTCGAAACGGCAATCTGCTGTTCACCTCGCAGATACCAAATCGCGATCTCAGCAGTCGCCTATCTTCTATTTACCCCCATCGGAGGTCGTGGACGACGTACCAGAGAGCCCAGGAGAGGACACAAGGACAGGAAATGTCGTGACAACTGAGACTCGCCGCTTCTCTTTGATCCCCCGGAAATCTCCTCCCAAACAGTGTGTTACTACAAGGACCTCCCGCGACTCTTATCGGAGGCCACTCTCCCTGATTGAACAGGAAGATGAAAACATGCGTGGCTATCCAACGCCAGTTTCAAGATCTCCTCGATGGCCTCTATACGAACCTGACGAACTGAGTCTGGAGTATCCAGTTCCATCCATCACACATGAGCGAGCAGTGTCTCCAATGTCCTTGGATTACTCCCACTTGGGTGGTCTGAAACGAGGATCTCTGCGGATCGTGAACGGTTCCGCATCTCCAGCCCCCAGCGATCGAACCCATCGTGGCATGCATACACATCCTAACGCAGAGTCTCGAGGAGATAACCATTCCTTGGAGGAGTCGAAATGCGGCGTGGGCACTCCCCCGGATGTTACCGATAAAATCATGCCCTTTGAACAATCCTCTGCTCAGTGTGCCCAGGCCTCCAATACCGAGGACGAACATGACATTCCAGGAAGCCCATTCTCCTTTGAGAAATCCCCGACAATAGCCGTGGTTCCCAGACATGCTCCCTTCTCCGGACAAGGGATGGAAGATGAGGCCATCAATATGGCGTTTGATGAGAGGATGCCCGACAACGGCATCATCCGGAAGGCACCCTCGCCAGACAACTTCAGCAGGCATGGAAGACGGGAATCTCGGTCACTGACCAAAGATGATAGTGGCTACAGTTCGGGCAGTTCAGTTAATTCTGAGCGAGCCGACCGAACTAGCAGGTCAGCAAATCTTTCAGAGTCACCGCCACAGCACTCTCCTCCAAAAGCTTCAATGGAGTTCGCAAGAGATTGTGCTCAAGAGAGTGTCGAGAACCGCCGCAGTAAATCGCGGCGGCGTTCGCTGCGTCGAAAGTCCAAGGATGCAAACCTTCGATCGACGGAGCAGCGGCAAAGGAAGTTGTTGACTCCACTTCTCACCATGTCAACCATGTGTCGTGAGAGCGGCAATGGAAAAGCTAAGGATCGCAAAACTTCACACAAGCCCTGCTGTAGAAGGCCCGGTCCGCCTCGTTTCTACGCTCAACTCGGTCCAAGCAGTGTGCCGTCTGTACCAGCGTCGACAACCATTCAAAACAGTGAGAGTGACACTGAAGACAACAGTGAAGAAACTGCAATTGAATTCTCACCAGCGAGACGACGTCGCTTCTCAACCAGTTCATTGAAGCTCGGGTTTCGGCGCAATGGATTCAACGAATCTGGTACAATTTACAGGTCTGATGGCGAAGAGTTTATTATAGAAAATCCACACAGAAGGCTCCGGACTCAAAACGATAATGATCGCCGTGTTAACCGAAGCGTCGATGGCAGGGGTCGCCAGATGAAATCCAAGTCCACCTCTTCCTGGGGTTCGAAGGTTCGGTCCTCGTCTGAGCCTCGTATTAAGGTCCGGCTCTTCTCGGAGGAAGACGAGCAGGCCAGTAACCGAAATCTATCTCCCTTCCGAAGAAGACGACAGCAGCGGCAGCAGCCGTTCGTGACGAATGATCACGATATCCCTCCTGTTCCTTCTCTCCCGAGTATGTTCCAGGTGGACCAGATGGCACAAGAGATGCGACAATGCGAGCACGAAGTGGACGAACTTCCACGAGGCCGAGCCCGGACTCGCAGCATTGACCAGTCCCGGAGGAGGCTGATGAGAGCTCAGAGAGGATATTTTGCTGAGAATCTAAGCTGACTGGCTAGCCCTGTTGTTGTTGAGCTGGAGCAGTTTTGATATTTGAAGGAAAATTCAATGATCGAATCGAATGTCTGTGTTATTTTTTTTATGTTCGATTTCTAAGAAAACGATATCTGCCCTGACGAGATGATCTATTCATTGATTGATTGACGCACAAAACTTTGGCAATAGGCCGGACCATGCGGAGAGTTTGTGTTTAGGTTTGATTTCAAAAGACATGTTGCCGTGATTCATTCATTGGTCATTTTCTGGATAGCTCTCCTAGAACTTTGGTTTTCAGAACAGGAACCGTGTTCGTTTGGTTCTGGTTTAATTTCGACGTTGGAAGAGGGATTCCCGAATCATAAGTTGCTACTGCAGTACTTTTATTTTAATTGTTATGCGGAGTTATGCTGGCGTTGCTTTCTTGGCTTAGGCAATTAAGCACCTTGCCGTACCTACCTACTTACCTAACTAGGTAGGTAGACAGCTGGTTCTTTTTAGGCATCTTCTGTTCTACAGGGTCCTAGCACATTTGCTGCTAGGATAATTATCTATGAGAACTTAGGACAAGTATTACTACATCAAGGCTTAATTCGGAGGCGAATATTCAGTGAAAGATAAACAAAATTCCGAATTCGTTGAATTTAGAAATCCATTACACTAGCTAATACACACAACCGAAGACAGATCTCTATCCCATGCAAGAACATAAAGAAACATCAGAAATGCAGAAGAGAAAAACAGTAGAAAAGAAAAGATCACATTCCATGCAAACATAAACCCATCATCCAAAACGCCCAATCCACCCAGAGTTTATAGATCGCATGTTGAATTTACTCAATCCTGATCTTCTTCACCACATGAGCCGGCTTCTTGGGCACGACAATCGAGAGGATGCCATTCTTCAGACTGGCCTTGACTGCATCCTGATTGACCCGGGTCGGGAAGGTGAAAGTGCGGTGGAACTCGCCCACGGAGCGCTCAGAAACCCAGTACTTGAAGGATGGTTGTTTCTGGACGGCTTTCCCCTTGTCCTTGCTCTTTGTGCTCTTGGAGAGTCTGTTGTCGGAAGATGCCGATGTCGACGTTGTTGTGTTGGGAGTTGAAGAGGTGGGGATGACTGTAGTAGACTTATTGGTGCCAGTGGCCTCGTCATCATCGGCATCTTCGACGGTGGGTTGGTAGGACTTCTTTGATGTATCGTCGTCTGACGACGAGTCGTTTGCCGTGGCTTCATCTTGCTCGTTGTCGTTGTCGTTGTTGTATTCATGCTCGACGCGGCCCTTGATCACCAGCGTGTGAGGGTCCGTGAATTCAATCTCCACGTCTTTCTGCTGGACGCCCGGAAGCTCCCCGTCCAGGAGGTAGCTGTCGTTCACCTCCCGTACGTCGAACCTTGGTGCGAAGGATCGGGCAGTCGGCCAGTGATCATTATGATGGCGGCGGTGCGAGGAACTTGACCGCGTCGAGCGATGGACGTCGTAGTCGTCCAGAAGACGGAAGAGTGGGAGAAAGTCACCAGCTGAAAATCGCGGATAAAACGCCATTGTGGTGATTTTTCGTCGAGGAGGAGTAGTAGTAGTAGTAGTAGTAGTGATTATGATGCAGCGCTTAGAGGCAGTTGATTCCAAGAAACCAGTTATGAATGGGAAGATCTGATTATTCAATGATCTGATCTGATTGCAATTTGATTCTTTGCTAGCTACAGAGCATCAACAGTCGAGTACTGACGCCTTTTTATACGCCATCCCAACGCTTGTAGAAGCCGCCAGCATGATCCAGAAATCTGTCCCTCCAGACCAGGGCACCTGCTATCGCGGAGCTGCCAGCAGCATCGAGGTGGCTCTGGGATCGTGGAGATGCGCCCAGACTGATCGAGCACCTACGAGGCCCCACCAGAACCTTCGATAAGCTTCAGCGATCAGACCATGATTGGTCAATGCGAGTGGCTAATGACGCAATGTCACGTGACTGTAACCGAGGCATGACAGCTCGCCGCTGCGTCGACATACTGTACAAAAGCTCTTGTCGGAAGAAGCTCAGCGAGGACTGATGGATCCGCTGGTGAGGCGCAGCTATCATCCTACATAGGAGCTCTCGCAACGGAAACAACCTCAGCACGTCAATTGAGCGTCCGTGTCGGTGATGTCACCGGCTTATGTTGCGGATGCCAGGCGAGGAGTACATCTCGAGTTGTCGATGCCCTTTCCGCAGGAGATACTCTATTGCTGTAAAGTCCTTTTTGCTCACGCTCAGATGTTTACGAAACTCCGACCTGCAGTGCGACGAGTCAATAACGACCCACTGAGGGTTAATGCCTGTGAACATCAGCAACAGCGATAGCACACCTTGCATATTCCTTGAAATTATTCCTCGCATCCTAGATAGGAGAATCGTTAGAGTCCAGCTGCGGTTGTATTTGGCAGGTCCAATCCTTACTGCTGGCTTCTTCCGAATTTCCCGTAGACATTTGCGGTAGAGGGACAGGACCTCCCTTTGCAGTCCCGACAGTCTCATCTCGCCTGCGTTCCGGCTTCTCTTGTCCGGTCCCTAGTTTGCTGCTCGATGTGGTCCGCTGGAAAGCTGTGAATGGTGCTGGCCGTGGAAATGTCAGACGGAACAATTCTGATGGGTGGGAAAAGGTATTGCCGACGCCGGCCCGCGCCGTAAGTGGTAACCGCGGAGGTTATCCGGACACCCGGCCGAGAGCTGACAGCAGCTGGTATTAGTTAAGAACGTAAGACCTCCACCCTCAGTGGGATTCGAGTGTGCACCGAATTAAGAATATCATCTCAATATTGTATGTACAGGCATACTTAGGAACCAATAAACTCACTTGTCTGTTGTTTTGTGCAATTATACACCGATATAATGGCTACCTTCTCGGTATGTAATCCTGAGCAGTGATATAAGCTTCCTTGCATCGTTGCAATATATTGTACACCATGCGCATCATAAGAATTGTGCATTTTAACCCTTGACGGAGCAGAAAAAACAGAAATCCACATCAAAAGATATCTGCATTCTTGTTTTGCGTTTTTGTTTTATTTGACAATGTCCATGCTAATCCACAACTCTCCACTAGCGTCTCGTCCGCTTTCTTGCGAAAGATGGACTTGTATACTATGGCGATGCCATTCTTCCGGCTGGCGTCAGTGACATTGCCAAAGCGACCAAGGCGCGGGTGATCCAAGGCGACATATTTGGTCAGCACCAGGTCACAGATAAGGTCGTTGAAATAAAGACGCTTCTTGCGCCGCTGGCGCGACATGACATCAAGACCGTGAGATGCCTCGGCCTAAATTACGAGCAACACGCCAAGGAGTCCAATCTTCCGATCCCGAAGTATCCAGTGCTCTTCTACAAGCCAGTCACAGCCATCACCGGCCCTACGGATGACATTCCTGTTTCCGCGATGGCGCAGGAAGGTGAGGGCCTGGACTACGAATGTGAGCTTGTGGTAGTCATTGGAAAGGAAGCCAGGGACGTTCCCGAATCCCGTGCCCTGGACTACGTCCTGGGATACGCAGTTGGAAACGACGTTTCCCACCGCGATTGGCAGATCAAGCGCGGCGGTGGACAGTGGGCCTTGGGTAAAGGATTCGATGGGTGGGCGCCTTTTGGACCAGGCATTGTGTCTGCAAAGTTGATCCGTGATCCAAATGCCCTCAACATCTCCACCAAACTGAATGGTCAAACTGTCCAGTCGTCATCCACGAAGGACATGATCTTCAGCGTGGCCAAGACCATCTCCTTCCTTTCCCAGGGCACTACACTACTGCCTGGTGATCTCATCTTTACTGGAACGTGAGTTACCCGATACTGGAGCTATGATGTGGTTGGATAACTAACACGTTTTTCTTCTGCTCTTTAGACCCCAAGGCGTGGGCATGGGCAGGAAACCTCCGCTCTGGCTGAAGGATGGCGACGTGGTCGAGGTGGCACTCCAAGACGTGGGATCCTGCACCAATCGGGTTGTCTTCAGCAAGCCGTCGGCGAAGCTGTGAACATGTCTGGAACCATGTTTATCACTATACTCCGGAGTAGGTGAAGCCTTCTGATTGTACATGCACATGTAGATGGTCATAACCTCTGGGAAATAATCATTTGCCGGAAAAAAAGCACGGCTTAACTGCATTACAAGACGGCGATTCATTTATTAGCATCTCATGATAAACTGCATTATCTTCGGGGGCAAGGGCAGACTGCAAAACGGCGACTCTAGTTGACTTGAGTCCCATAACCCTTGATGGTCTCCGCAAACGCCCAACTTTGGTTCTCGAGTTTTTCGTTCTCCTTCAGTTCTATCCCGTCCTTGGTCACCACTGCCAAAGTATATTGATCCAGGCTCCGTGCATCTCTGTAAAACAGAACCTTCATACAATCCCTCAATGCTGCGATCGCCTGCTCTTTTGAAATGTCTTCAATAGGCATTTCTTCCGGGAATAACCGACGAAGGATTGGTATTGCCAGGTGGGCACCGAAACCAGTTGCCAAGTGCGGCGCCGAATATGTCGTCCCCAGGAGGTCCGCAGAACTAAGAAACGGCTTACCATCGCCGTCAAATCCAGCGACGAGGATGTGATTCCACAGAGGGTCCATCTCCGACCGGCGCTTGTAGAAGACTTTGGAGAGGTAAGTATGGATGTTTTTGGCATTTAGCGTGTTCCCGTTGGAGGAATAGTTTTCTCTAATATCAATGGCGTTGAGAAGGCGGTCGATGTACTGCATATCGGAGATATCTCCGCCAAAACCGATAATGGTAGACTCGTCAAAAACCCGAATACGCTTTACATCCGTAAAACGAGCGAGAGAGCCGTAGGAAGCTATAAAGCAGGCGCACAAGTTCAGATGAAACATCCCATATAAGTCTCACTTGAGGATCAGTATGATACATACCCAGATTGTCTGCAGCCATTGCAACACCTCCATTGAATTTGACTGCGACGACTGACGTACCCGTTACAGCCGGAGACAGCGTATGCGCTTTCGGGCCAGTCGTCTTGAGATAGGTATGATCGTAGACACCGTAGACGTCATCCCTGGGCTATTTCAGATAATTAGGAACCGCAAGGATTGAATGCAAGTACTAGATGTTATTGAGAGGCAACTCACACGACCCCAGGCTTGCGGGAAGTGGTTCATGACGTTCCGGACAGGGCACTAAGGGAGCTCAAGTCCTGAGAAGCTGTATGATATGAAAAGGGGTATGCAAAAGCAATATGGTGCAATGTAGATTGCACACAGAGGAAAACGAAATCGGGATTATCAGGGAGGTGTTGAGAGTCACGCAGCTATGTTCATCATTGTTAGGCAGGAGAGCTGACGGAGCTATGCGGTGGGTACGTATCGGTAACAGCCTGGCGCCACTGTGGCGCATTACATGTGGCGCAGTATTGACCTTCGATAAACAGAACGTTGTGCAAGGTGTTTTCCCCTCGATTCCATTAACATCTCGCCTATTTGGCAGTATTTGCAACCGCATAAAAAGACTGAGAAGGTTCAATTCGAGAGGAAGACATCTTGGTAGTCATAATTGGCCTGAATTCATAAGACTGCATAAAACCAGTTACTGGAGCACATGCGATTCAGATAATTTCTAAGTCAATTACTCGATACCAATTGATTTACTGACATATCAAGTTTTCCAGTAGATGGCAGATTATGGAAACGATACATTTAAACAGGCCATCTGCCGTCTATAGAAGATAAAAGTCCAGTGAGCAGTAACAGCCGCATCTGTGCAATAGAGGTTACAGTAGAGCCAGCAAGAATTTCCGCAATCAAAGCTATCCTCAGTTATCTACTGCGACTTAGAGCCCAGTCATTAGTCAGTCGCTGCTGTTCAAGATGTCTCGCTTTCCTCTCAGGACTGGAACTGGCCATTGGCTATCCTGCTGTGCTAGTGGTCTTGAATCTCCTCTCAGACGATGATCTCCCATCACGGGTAGTACTCGAAGGTACGAATTCGATTGAGTCTCTTTGTCCAGATGCTCTCGCCTTCTCTTCTAATCTAAGACGAGTAGCCTGCTGTGTTTTCACCAATTCTTCCTTGTAACCCCAATCCGGAAGCGAGGAAACGTCCCATATGTCAAGAGGAAGCGAAGTAGCATATTGCTCCGCGTCATCAATACCGGCATGCTGTCTCAGTTTAACGAGCAGGCTGGGGTTTTTAAGAGAAGATGATCCTGCCAGCTTTTCATTGAAATGAACACCTTGCTTCTTCAATGAAAGGAAATGTGAAAACTTGGTATTCGCGGCAGGGTCAGGAGATCCAGGTGGGGAGGGAGGTATATCGAGGTCAGGAACCGGAGGCAGTGTGAGGTCATGGATCAATGCTCTGGTTGCGGAATATGGAGAAGACTGCCCTGATGCCAGATGATTATCCGACAGTGTTGATGTATCTTGTGGCTGGTGTGGCCCAAGTACAGGACGACCGGGGTCAACAACAGTAGCTTCAGGTTGCGGCTCGTTCTTAACGTCGGAAGGGCCTGCGCATCGCGTTAGATGAACTCTTAGATCTAAACTAGGATGTATTGTCAATACCTTGAAGATTTATATCGCGTTTAGTATCCCTTTGTTGTTTATCGCTGTCACTCTAAAACCAATTAGTCAATTCCAACGTGTGGTGTATCAGCTGGAGATACACACCTTGAAAGTAGGCGACGAGACTCGGCCTTTGGCCTCGTCCTCGCTGCTACTCTCATATGCTCCAAGGCCGAGCATTATATTGTCATCTCAATATATAGAGACCGCATTAGCTGTAAATATGGTTGCCAACAGCTCGCAACTGAACCCCAAGAATAGGACTGGCCATGAGTATCTGTATGCTGAGAAAACTCGGGTTACCAAGTATTTGAAACTTGTAATGCACTCCTGCTTCTGGAAATTTGGCACGCAAGCGTCGGGATGCGTTCTGGGATTATTACGTAATCACAGGCAACGTAATAGCTCTGCGTCAGTGTAGGAAGCTCTAGACGCAGGTTCAACAATAACTCAAACCCGACAACTGAGAGGTTATCTCTCAAAAGTCCATCAATATACCCAACTCTGACAGATTCTTCAGGATCAACGGGTCTATTCTCTTCTTCTATTTCTTTAATCAGTGTTCCTTGTGGAGATGGCATCTCTCCTTGGCCAACCGTCTCATGCTGAGACTTTGGGACACTTACCTCAGTCGGCCACAGCTGGAAACAGGGAGCATGCATTTTATCCGTACGTCTTCGTGACATCTACTGCCTTGTTTGTACTAAGACTCATGTTTTATCCACCAGATATACGGACAATGGCGGTTCCATCTTGGGGATAAGTGGCTCCGATTTCACGATCATTGCTGGGGACACCCGCTCTGTCTCTGGCTACAACATCAACTCTCGACTAGTTCCGAAAGTTTTCAAGATAGGAGGTGATGATGAGACTGGCGAGGGAGCTCACATTGTTCTTGCAGTCGTGGGTTTCGCCGCAGATGGCCGGGCTCTGAAGGAACGACTAGACAGCATTGTCAAGGTGTACAGGTACCAGCACGGCAAGCCCATGTCTGTCAAGGCCTGCGCGCAACGACTGTCGACGATTCTCTATCAGAAGCGATTCTTTCCTTACTACGCATACGCTATACTAGGAGGTCTCGATGAGGAAGGCAAGGGAGCCTTGTATAGTTATGATCCCGTGGGTTCCTACGAACGAGAGCAGTGTAAAGCAGCGGGATCCGCAGCGAGTCTGATTATGCCATTCCTGGATAACCAGGTCAACTTCAAGAACCAGTACATTCCTGGAAGTGGGGAGGGGCATGCTTTGGAGAGAAGGACACCGGAGCCGTTACCAAGGAGCACCGTTGAACAACTGGTGCGGGATGCATTCACCAGCGCTGTGGAGAGACATATCGAGGTCGGTGACGGTCTGCAGATGATGGTCATTACGAAGGATGGGATAGAAGAGATCTACACCCCTTTGAAGAAGGATTAATAATATGACACTCCTGAATGTAATCCAGGCAAAAATAACATCATGGTGTTCATTTCATGGTCTCTTATTGGTTCATAACAAAAAAACGACATTCATATAATATTCCAGAAGCCTAAACACATTAAAATTGATTTTCATCACATTCCCAATTAAACCTGCCACTGCGCCCAACGCCATAAACATGCTGATAGAAGCTGACAGTCCCAGAATCAGAATCGTTCTTTCATCCGAGAGGCAACGGTACGAAGATTGCCGTATACTTTGCCCTGTCCCTGTCGTCAGCGGTAGAAGAATATTAGGGTTCCTTTCAGACCTACCGGAGGGCTACCTAAGATCAAACTGACAATGGCCTCTCTTGCAATGTGGATATTCTTGAACCCACCAAGAATGTGGATCTTCTGATCGGCGAGAACGATCCTGGTCCGACTGGCATTCTCAATGGCAAACTTGGTCTTCCCGTCTTTGCCTGCGATCCGTCCAATCGCTCGGCTCAGGTGCTCTCCATTCAATGTCTTGACGTCTTTTATCTCAAAAGTTTCAATGTACATATCATCAAGCCTCAGGAGGGCCAAGGCATCCTCGCAATCGAAGCCAAGAGTAAAGGCTTTCACAAAGTCTTCTCCCTTTTGCAAAGCTCCTGGATCTGTAGTAAACTTCGAGGTTCTCAACTCGACTGCGCGATTCTTGACATTCATTCTCACTTGTAACTTTAGATGCTCGACAAGAGGAGGATAGATTTTTGGCCAGAATGTTTTCAGTGGACTCATCCGATGCGGTGGTACTGGCACTTTCCGTGTTTGCACTCGGTATGCGCTGGGGATCTCCTTCACGGGGGTAAAGAGTGGTCGGCCTTCCTCGTCAATTTGCATGGCACTTTCTTCGCCAGCATCTGGTTCCGGTGCTGATTCTGCTGCCTCCTTTGGAGCAGTTGTCGTTGGATCGATCAAGACGTCGTCGCCATCTATCAATATGTTAATTTAAGATGTGATGATTAGATGCAAGCAAATCAAACCTTGCACGGGGGGCGCAGAGGCGGGGCTTTCGGCTTCCGCCGCCTCCCCTGGCTTCTTCAGAAGAGCAGTTGGTGCGGGCATATTGCAGCGTGGCTACGAGTCCCAAGCTTTTTTGATCGCAAGATGGGGTTTTGGCGAAATTTGAGGAGCGGCCATCGATAAGCCCGCCGAATGTGCGGGTATCTGAATGAAAAATTTCGGTGCAAACAGCACAAACACGGGGGACCAGTGGTGTGGCTCGACGGTGGCACAGATGATTTCATGGCTAGGCCGTGGCCTAGATGCGGGTAGAAGCTCCTGCACGCATTATTTGCCGCTTTTGTTACGTCTTTTCCCAGGCCTTTGGCACCGCCAATACCACGCCTTCTCCGTGGTGTGGATAGCACTTTTCTCATATCCTTTCCACCGCCTTTCCTTTTCTTTTCCCCCTTTCATTGAGACCCTCAATCAGAAAGTATTCCATAATGTAACCAAGAGGATGTCTCCCAATATAGGACATAGGCTGTACGCCGTTTTCCGAGAAGCAGCAGGTCCGTTCTTCCTCCGCGATATCCGAACGAGCTTGAATGCGTTTTCTCTGAACTCTTCGAGCTCAAATAGCACAACGCGCGGCTTTTTCGTGAGGAATTACTCTGGGAAGATCCCCCCTGGCACTGGAAGGATCAGCAGGAGATTTGCTTCCGGCAGCTTTCTGGTACTCGGAGCCTCTCCCCATTCGGCGGCAGCAGTTGAAACGGGAGCGACCGAGAAGATAATATGTCCAAACAGTCCGTGTTATCCTAACAGAAGGCCACTAGGCAGCCTTGCTCGACACATCTGGAAACGGAGTGTGCACACCTCGGAAAATGACAGATCAGCTGCGGAATTGGCCAAGGCTCGAAGGGGCGCACAAAATGAGAGCTCTCCTCAGGAAGCGGCTCCAGTGAGACCTCATGATCCAGTTGACGATGAGGGCAAGCATTTGGATAGAGAATATAACGAGCCTGTTTCGCTGAATAAAAACCTTCGAGAGCGCTTGCCGAACTTGTCCCAGTTCCATCGACCTACAAAGGAGGAGTTATTGGCTGCAGCTACTGGCTTCTGGTCGAGGCTTCGGGTCAGATTTAAGTGGTTCTCTATAAGAAGTGTCCGACCCTTTAACCTGGACGAGATAAGTGCCCTTTTTTCATGGGTGCTCCTCGGTCATGTTCTGTGGATCATCCTGGGGACAACCACCTTCTTTTCTCTGCTTATCTTTGCAATAAATACGGTTTTTGCGCAAGGTATCCCATATTCGCCCACTATTGTTTTGATCATGTTCTAATTGTCACAGAAACACTAGCTCGTTGGGTGGGAAACTATCTGACGAAATCTTCGGGTGTGAAAGTGGTATTCGAGTCTGCCATTGTTCCGAAATGGAGAGATGGTGTTATCACCTTCAAGAATGTTTTTGTATCACGCAGACCAGGTCAGGGAAGTGGAAATGTCAGCAAAGGTTCATCAAAAACTGCAGCGGCGGCCGCTGCAGCTGTCGCGGCTTTGGGAGATGCAAAGGATGGGCCGAACACCGATGGATCTACGCAGCGAGATGGCGCTGGATATGAGGATGAGGATACGAACTATACGCAGTTCGATGTTTCGATTGACACGGTTAATGTGACGTTATCTTTTACCAAGTGGCTCAACGGCAAAGGTCTCTTACGAAATGTCGAAGTGAAGGGGATCAGAGGGGTTATCGACCGTTCTCACGTCCGTTGGACAAATGACAACCTAGACCCCAAGTCTTATCGCCACGAGCACAATCCTGGTGATTTTGAAATTGATTCATTTAAAATGGAAGATGTTCTCGTCACGGTCTATCAGCCTAACAACTTCAGGCCATTTACCGTCAGCATATTTTCTTGTGATCTTCCCCAGTTACGGAAGCAATGGCTTTTCTACGATTTTCTCTCGGCCAATATGATTTCAGGCTCTTTCGACAATTCTTTGTTCACGATACACCCTCGCCAAACCCATAGCTACACTGGAGCTCAACTAAGTAACGGCGTTGAGAAAGGCGAGTCCAGCCCCTGGAAGAAACAGAGCAGATTCCGGATTGATGGTCTCAATATCGATCATCTGAATCGTGGAGTTGAGGGTCCCTTTTCCTGGATTCACGAAGGCAGCGTTGATATTGTTGCTGATATCATGTTCCCTGCTGAGAATGATGAGAGTCTTGCCAAAGTCGTGTCTGACTTCTACGATCGCCTTGAAGCAACAGTCACATCGGCGCGTTATCCACCAGAGGACGGCAAGGAAGCCCGCGAGGACCAAGCGGATGCTGAGGCTCCATTTGCCGCTAATGACAACGACAAGCGGTTTGTGGTAACCGATCTTAGGATTAGTCTTAACAATGTCAGGGCTGTCGTTCCGCTCTTCACGCGAGACCTGTCATACATCAACAATGCCCTCATCCGACCAATCGTGGCGTACATCAATTCCAGACGGACCTTCATTCCGGTGAATTGTCGCCTCGTTAAGCGACTGAGTGACTTCGACGGCAGCTGGACCATCTTTGACAGTGGCTTGATGGACGATTTGTCGGCAGCAGTGAGTATTCCCTGAAAAGATCGAATTCATTCCTATTCTTTTTTTTTGATTAACGGCGATGTTATAGACGTATGACGCATTCGCCCGAGACGTCGTCGATGAACAGGCGCGCAAGCGCCGTTTCAAGAAGGTTGGCTTCTGGTCACTTCAACTTGCTGCGCAAGCTATCTTCATGGGCATGGCAGGCAACATCATATGATATTTTTAGTCTGGAGTCCATGTGTCTGATCCCGGGGAACCGGACGAACTGCAACGACATTTAGAAAATTCCGACTTTGGACCAGTTGTTTTACTGGTCCGGTCTTGTATCAGTAGTTTCCTTTTTTTTCATTTTTTTACTTTCAACCTTTTCTCATCCTGGCGCTCGACGTTTTCTGGACGACCTTTGGATGCCAAATCAGCATAAATTATCGTCTCAGGAAAGTTTCAGGCGTAAGAAATTCCGAAGTATCCCTATTTGTGCTGTCCTTTGTATGAGAATCCACAAGAGACCTGCATATGATGAAGCTGACTTGTCGATATCATAGAGGTCACCCGAACAGGCCTCCCTGCTGGCCCGATCATTCCTGAAGCTGATACGCCGATTCCTAGGTCTGGGAGGATTCGCATGAGATGGCTCATCATTCAAAGTGTACTTTGTATTATTATTATAAGGTTCATCATTACTGTGCTCCTCATAGTGGAGCAATCGGCTGCTGGGCGGTACTCCTATGTACAGTACGTACGGAACGCTTGACGAATGACAATAGTTAATGTAACCAATAATGAACTATTCATTTGACAGGGTTGATAGGCTCTGACCAAAGTCTGGAAGACTGGCGTACGTTGAGATAAAGTAATTCGACAGCTTTAGTTCGTCAAAAGGCCGATCTACCTAGAAGGGTGGGAGGGATCGACAGTGTTAATGACACCTGAGACCATGTCGTTGAAGGTTGATTAATCAAGTTACCAGTACGCTGTAGTATGTATGTACAGTACAACATACCTATTAAGAACCTATTAAAAATGTCCTTAATGGAGACCTGAAATAAGGTAGTTGGCATTATTCTCAACGACGATGTGCTCAGTAGGATGCCAATCCTAGAGTGCAGAGGTGCTGCATCTCTTATTTTGTTATTGTTTTTGTTAATAATAATATTATTATAATTGTCCTGGTTATTACTCTGTAACTTGTACCTAAAGTTCTGTAAAGAGTAGTTGATTTTCTGTCGTAGAGCACGCCATGCTCCGGATGGAGTAATACTCCATACGGAGTACATCACTGTGGCTCGCAAGTGACTTGCATTGTGGAAATCGTAGCTTGGAGGGATCCATCATCCCCACTTTGACGATACTTGGTATAATTTACCGCTATCATGCAACAATAATAAAGGTAATTCCCAGACCAGCACGGAGTACGTACTCCAACAAATTGAGAGAAATAACCGTTGACAGCTAGGTAGCTACCGACAGAATACTCCGTACTCCATACGGAAGATTAATAATAATGTTAATGTGCGGAGTATTCTGCCATTAGTACTACGCACTGATAATAACGATCAGCTGCATTATTCCCTTTCGCTCTTGCTCAGCTCCACCGGGTCTCTCTCCTGGCACCTGTGGCTTACATCCCACGGGCCTGACAGCCAAAGCAACCGATGTTCCTGACGGAACTCGAGACAACCCCTTTCCTGCTTCCCCTTCTGCTCCCCACCCATTCCAGGTCTCTTGCATTTGCCCGGTGGGCCTCCCGGCCCCGTCTTGACTCGTTTTGGCTCTCCAAGGCCAAGCGAAAACTCGGACCCCCTGAGCCTCAGCGCTTAGTCCCGCGCCGGCACGTCCGGGTTTCCGCTGCTGCTGGTGTCGCTGCTGTTTCTGACCTGTCCTGCGAACGCTGCGGTGCTAGGAAAAGGAAAACTGCCTGCTCTGCATACGGAGTACCGTGCGAGCTCAGACCTCGTGCTGTATGTGAAGCAAGGCTTCTTAAGAACAGTAGGGGAATTCATGCGGATTTTCTTTGATGGTGCACAAGACTTTTTTAGTTAACTACCTACAGTTAAACTTCTCCAAGCATTACCCACCCGCGTGCCTGCTGATGCCGGCTGTGCTTGTCCAACCCGCGTCCTTGGACACGCCATGTCGCAGGCTCCGCGACAAGACAAAGATGCCCGACCCCTGTCACCTGGCCCTGGCCTTCCCCTATCCCTCCCCACAGTGAGAGAAGCTGCTGCTGTGCAGGCTCCCCTCAGCGGCACCCTCATTCCTCGAGATTATCTCAGCCAGCGTTCGAATGGGCATCCTTATCGCTCCTCCAACGCTGCTACGGCTGGGGCGCGCAGATTCACCCCGTCCTCCCTTCACACGAGCTTTCGACCGACTTCATCTGAGAAAGACACCCCCGAGTCCCCGCTCGGTCATCGCTCGCCGGATTCCGCTGCCACCGGCTCGCCGCTTGAACGAGAATCCCAGACCGAACGAATAGCTCGGTCGTCCAACTCCCCCGTGCCTCTAGCTGGAGAGCGCCAGAGCCCGCTGTCAGCGACGGAGGTGATTGCGAAGGATTCGAGGGACCGCCAGTTTGAGCATGGTGTGGGCATTTCCAAAGAACGCATCGACGGCGAGTCCAACAACATGTCAGAGACGTCAGGGTCTACTCAACCATCAGGCTCTCCGCCCAGTTCGCCGGCACAATCTCTGCCGTCCAATGTCGCGGAGCGCACCGGGCAGCGAATGATGCCGCGAACTTCGTCGATTGATTCTGCCATATCCTCCATCTCTTCCGCTTCGCATTCACATAAATCTTCGTTTGACTCGAACTCTATAACCTCAGCCGATATCAACAATCTTATAGCAGCAGCTGGCTCTGCTGAAGCCGTCATTGTACACTTACTCAAGGATAAACACCACGCCGCCGCGCAGAACGAGCAGCTTTGGCGGCTGCTCGAAAAGCAGAGGGCACTCGTGTTGGGGTTAAACAAGGATCTGGAGCGGGCCCTGAAGGATAAAGAGAGATATCGGAAGAAACTCAAGGAACTGCAGAGCCAAATACCACCTTTACCGGCAAAGGCATCACAACCGGTTGAGGAGTCGTTTACGAAGGGTAGTCCCAGCAAGGACAAATCTGATACCGTACACTCGGCTCAAAGTGGAGTTTCTCATCATGACAACGTTCGAAGCCCGCAACCAGAATCATCCGTTGGGCCGTCTGAAGATGCATCCGCTCAGACGAATAAAGGAACTACGAGTTCAGACATAGCTGGTCCGCCTGCTCCTCCTAGGGCTGAAACCGATCCGCATTCCACGAGTTCTGTGTCAACGAAGCAACAACCCGAGTCCCGTGAGCAGTCAGATAAGATCGAATCAGCAAACCCTGACAGATCTCGTGTCCCTGGTGAAGAGCTACATCATATGCAAGATCTGCAGGAAAACATGTTGCCGCCACCTAATCGGAAGCCACCACCAGCCCCTCTAAACCTTGGGCAGGCCCAGCATCGGGGCTCACCGACCGATCCAATAAGTCCTCATGATTCAGATTCAGACTATGATGACGTCCAGGAGGTGGATGATCTTACAACAGTAGAGCGAGGAAGGAGGAGGACGAGGGAAGATGATGACAAGGAGCGCGAAGCTGCCGCGAAACGAGAGCAAGAGGCCCGGAGCCGGTCAAAGAAGAAGATGACGAAGGGAACGGAAACAGACGATACACGCGGTTCTTCACACCAGGCTGTCCCAGCAGGCTTGCCCTCAAGTCCACGAAAGCTAGTAGCTCAACCTCCCCCTCATCTGACTGTCGGACAATTCTCAGCGGCAGACTCCCTGGCAGCAGTTATGAATTCAGGACACTCAGGATCGACGTCGCTGGGTGAACGCATTGGCTTGTCTCCTCCCATGAGCCCGGGGCTGCCAGTCAGCCCAAGACCAGGAGATCGTCCTTTAGGATCTCCTTTACCACGACAGCCAAGGGAAGGTTCGGGCGTCGTCGCGTCGCCGCCCGGTTCGCCAAAAGCTTCTCTGCCTGGTCTGCCTTTGTCGCCTCGCGCAACAAAACAGACGATGCCGCTGTCCCCGAAATCAACTCACACAGAAAGCGCAACACGTCCGATACCTTCCATTGATGCGTCTGTGAAGATTGATAGCCCTAAGTCACCCTCCGGTTTTGAGCGCACCATCTACCAAGGCCTCGTCTCGGATGAATACCCAGGCCTTCTCCTTCCACCGAACGCCCTGCCCTCTATAGAAGTCAAGGTGGCATCCTCACGACTTCGTCCTTCCAGGAACAGTTATTTGGGAGGGAAGGCCTCCGATGAGGAACCTGTTTTCACTTTGAGCATATTCTCTCGGTCCGATAGGTCTGAATTGTGGCGCGTTGAGAAGGTCATCAATGCTTTACCTCAACTCGACCATCAAATCCGACAATTGTGTGACTTCTCAGGAAAACTACCCGATCGATCTATTTTTAGCGGACATTCACCCGCAAAGGTTGATGCAAGAAGAGAAGCGTTGAACTCATATTTTGAGACTCTCCTTGACACTCCTATGAACGAATCGGCGGCCTTGGCCCTTTGTCGATTCCTTAGTTCCGATGCTATCGAGCCCCGTGACGATGAGACGAGCTTGCTCAAAGCTAATGGTAAAGCGACTCCTGAGCTTCTCCGCGGGCCGGATGGAAAACCCCGGAAAGAAGGATATCTCACAAAGAGAGGTAAGAATTTTGGCGGTTGGAAAGCAAGATACTTTGTCCTACATGGACCGGAATTGAAATATTTCGAATCCCCGGGAGGGCCCCATTTGGGAACGATCAAGATACGTAATGCGCAGATTGGGAAGCAATCGCAAAGTGGCCAGAATCAATCTCCTTCGCGAAATGATGATGATTCAGACAATCAATACCGGCATGCCTTCCTCATTCTTGAGCCGAAGAAAAAAGATTCATCAGCCCTTGTTCGACATGTACTATGTGCTGAGAGCGACGAGGAGAGAGATGCTTGGGTTGATGCGCTACTGGAATACGTAGAGACCCACTCATCCGAGGACGAAAAAACGAATGCTACATCCTCAAAGAGTCAACCCCAACAAAAGCATTCTACCCAGTCAAATGCTAAATCCAGGCTATTCCCCAGCAGCAACAGGAAGAATAGCAAAGGAACCGACAGTCCAGACATTGATCCTCCGGATACTGTTCAAAGTTTCAGCTACGATGATGCTGTTGCTGCCGAACCACCTGTTTATGGACCATCATATGAAAAGGAGGCATCAAAATCCTCTCCTGTACAGTCTGAGCCCTTAGGAGAAAGCACGAATGCCAACGGAGGCAATCAGAATAGCTCAGAACCAGGGGTGTCTGGGTCTCATAGCTCGAAAATAATCTCTGGGCCGACAAATGGGACCGTCATCCAGGATGCAGGGGCATGGGGCAACAAGCCAGCTACCACAATCAAGGAGAAGAAACGAAGCATCTGGGGCTTCCGCACAAGGTCTTCCTCTGACCTCGCCTCCCAGGCCCAGAGCACCAACGAATGTCCGGCAAACTTCCAGAACAATAATTCTTGTACCGAGAGGAAGGAACTCATTCGACCTGTTTTTGGAATGCCGCTGGCCGAGGCGGTACAATTCTGCGCTCCGAAAGGTGTAGACGCGGAGTTGCCAGCCGTCGTGTACCGTTGCATCGAGTATCTGCGAGCTAAAGGAGCGGCATCAGAGGAAGGAATTTTCCGGCTCAGCGGATCAAATGTCGTTGTCAAGGCACTCAAAGAACGATTCAATACGGAAGGTGATGTCGACTTATTGGCAGAGGATCACTACTATGATGTTCATGCTGTCGCTTCTCTTTTCAAGCAATATCTACGGGAGTTGCCCACGACGGTTTTGACGCGGGAGCTCCATTTAGATTTCATACGCGTTCTAGGTGAGCACGAACTGATCTCTCTTCTGCAAGTAATGCCACGCTAACAATCAGCCAGATCTCGATGACAAAGAAAAGAAGATTGCCGCTTTCAATTCTTTGGTCCACAGACTTCCCAAACCTAACTTTGCACTGCTGCGAGCTCTCGTACAATTCTTAATCGAAATCGTCAATAACTCCGATGTCAACAAGATGACAGTGAGAAATGTCGGCATCGTCTTTGCTCCAACACTGAATATTCCTTCTCCCGTCTTCTCCATGTTCCTTACTGATTTTGACGCTATCTTCTCCAACGTGCCGGACTCTACGAAACCTGTAGATCTGCCCGTTAATTCGTCACTATCGCCGGAAGAAGTGAGATCTCCTCGACGTCAAATTTTCTCTGAGATTCCGACACCTACTTATAATCAAATGTCATTTTATCCATCAGAGGAATCAAACGCACGGCCATCTCATGACTTAAGAGCTAATTATGACACTGGGTTTACCCCCATGTTTCCAACCTCCGATCAACCTCATTCTGGCTCTGAGCCACATCGGCGCCAGGCAGATCACGCTCAGATTCCGTCCCTCAACCGCATGCTAGCCCCCAATGCGGACAACCTACATTCCACCAAGGCGAAAAGAAGAGAAAGTTCTCTTCTCTTCATGGACTTAGGCAACCGTAAGAGCTCCGTCCCGCAGTTGCGAGACGACCAAGGTGAGAACCCTTGTTTGAAGAGGTAAACATTGACAGACTGGGCTCACAATTTGAAGCACTTGTTACCAAGGAATCCGCGTTCGAATAAATAAATAAATATCCTCCCGTAAGGACCCGATGGGTCTGCTGTTCCACCCGAGTATCGCGGAGATGTTTGGTGATCTTGCTGTGCTGGATTTTCCACTTTCCGCGACGAACTTCATGATTTGAATGATTACAAATTACCGTTCTTTCGACATATATCCACGCTGTCTACTATAAGTTGGCCAACATGAACGGCATGATAATAATAATGGCAACAATGTTTACACGTTGCAATACTATTGGGAGCAACCATTAATGTTTTTTTTCTTTTTTTAATGCTTTTGTCCCTCGGACATGGGTTCTTAGTCGTCTCATGTTGCATGTTTCTTCAACTCACAACGTTGATTTCTTGGAGACATGGACTAATATACCCGAGATGTGTCCATGAGAAGTTATTTTTATTTTCCCTTTTACTTACGCAGCTGTGCTGGCCATTCATTCCCCTCTACGCATATTGATTGCCTTTAGGAACTTGGATAATTCACACGGTCACACATGGTCCAAAATACCCTGTCGGTCTTGTTCTTGAGGTTCTTGTAACTCTTTCCGTCATCTGGGGCGATGCAAAGGAATGCAAATCAATAATGAGCTAGTTAAAGTAAGGCTATAGGAACGCTTTAAAAACATGATGGTAAATCATAACACTGGTAGATCAAAACCTCCTTGTTCGCTCCCCCTTCCAGAATCCCATAAGTTCACCAGTTTCTCCAACCCAATCCCGGATACCGTCAACTAGAGCTTTCGCCATGCCTTTATTTTTGTTCTTGCCATCGGGGGAGATAGAGGAAGTGTGATCGCCAGTAGCATATTCGGATCCCATACTGGGTAGAACGTTGTCCCCGGCACTCAGACTGACGAAAAGCGCAAACGGGACTAGCCAAACGCACAGTCCAAAGTAGGAAGCAACCTCCGTAAAGGTAGGCATATTCTCATAATCAGGCTCATACGGCCGACGCCAGGAGCTGGAACTTCGAGGAGGCACCGGTTTGGAGAAGTGGCGGAACCAGACCCAGTGGTTGATACACACTAGGATACAGGAGAGGATAAAGAGTGGATCCGACAATTTGACGATGGGGAAGCGGCGAAGATTACTCGCATAGACGAGGTGTGAGACTATGCTCAGGACAGAGAGGGAGAAAGGGAATCGGTCGAAAAGCCAAAGCAGAATCTGAACAATAATGACACTGTATATGAGCCGGGTCAAAAGACGGCGAGCCAATACTGTGTGTTCTTCGACTAGTTCGGAGAGATAGTAAAGCCCGGATGCTGCGCAAGAGATGTCAGCTTCAGTCCATTTTCCCATGTGATGGCAGAATGAGGAGGACTGCCATCTTTTCTATCACCTATATGGTCTCGTGTCAATACGTACCGATGGCTAATGTGAGGAATGCAAAGCCCACGACAACTCCCAAGTAGCCGACGAGTGGAAGGATCCACATGATGGGAAGGGAGGTCCAAGTGCTGCTGGGCCAGGACGTTCTTAAATGAAGGAAAAGAACAGCACCTGCAGGGAAGAATCGCAGAGCATCAGCAAACAGGATGCTAAAGCATCCGCATGGAAATGCAGAGGAAGATGAAGCTGAATTGCTGAAGCTCAGCTAGCTAGTCTTAGCTAGTCTAGTACCCCACGTCAGGATCAAGATCGATACCAGCTGAATGAGCGAGGAGCCGTGTGATAGTGTACTCTGATGGTTTCAGAAATATATATTTTAAAAAAAAAAGAAATAGCCTATCAGCTAGAGAGCTTCCTTGCGCTCATCCGCAATCGTCGATCATGACAAGTGGTCGCTAGTAATTCATGAACTAACTAGTCCGTAGCTGATAGGGTATTTATTATTAGTCCGTTATCCAACCTTTGTAGTATGGGCTAAAGCGGAAGACTTGGCGATCGTCTGCCTAAGGCCTACATCCCACCTTAAAAAAAAGATTCTTTGCGCGATATGATCTGAAAGGCTATCAGGAGCTGCGGGACAGCCATCTATCATTCTCAACCGTTGAACCGACAATTAGATTTTTCTAGCACAGAATTATCTCATTTTGCAGCTCTGATCACGAACTCGCGACAATAGCAAAAATTCTCCTCGCTTTACGCAATTTTACATCGTCGCTATCATGTCACGCCCTGAAGACATCCTGTGGGTTCAACCTCTTGTCCTTTTATGCGATTTATATTTGCTGAAGAGCGCGATTGAGTTTTCATAAATACTAACAATTTAATTTATCATTTAACTGAATACAGCCCTCCAGATCTTTACTACAATGACAACGAGTCAAGGAAGTACACCACTTCCTCTCGTATCCGCAATGTTCAAGCCGAGATGACCCACCGTGCTCTCGAACTTCTCGACCTAAAGTCTCCATCCCTAATACTGGACGTGGGTTGCGGTTCTGGGCTCTCCGGTGAGATATTGTCAAATGTGCCGCCAGAAGCCGGCGGGCCACATACCTGGATCGGAATGGACATATCCCCGAGCATGCTCGACATAGCCCTGCAACGGGAGGTAGAAGGAGACTTATTCCTTGCTGATATTGGTCAAGGGGTGCCTTTCCGGCCTGGCACATTCGACGCAGCTATCAGCATTAGCGCCATTCAATGGCTGTGTAATGCAGAGTCAAGCGACGTGAGTCCAGAAGGTCGCTTGCGCCGTTTTTTTGACGGACTCTATGCAAGCCTGCGTCGCGGTGGACGCGCTGTCTGTCAATTCTATCCTAAGAATGATGAACAGCGGAACCTGATAAGCGGCGCTGCAATCAAGGCAGGTTTCGGTGCTGGTATTCTGGAAGACGACCCAGGGACGAAAAACAGCAAGCTTTACCTAGTCCTAACTGTAGGTGGTGGTGGCTTGCAAGGTGATATAACAGGCGTCGTGGAAGGCATGGATAACGTCGATGTCCTCGATGCTAGGAAAAAGGAGAGCAACAAATCCAAACAAGCGCAGGAAAGAAAGGGTAGCAAGGCCTGGATTTTGCGAAAGAAAGAACAGATGGCAAGGAGAGGAAAAATTGTCAAACGCGACTCGAAATACACTGGTAGGAAGAGGCGGCCCGTGTTCTGATGAACTGAAAGAAGTCATTTACGCGCAAGCTACTACACTTAGCACATGGGCTTTTTGACACGCTTCCTAAGGGCAAGATAAGACCCGGGTAACAGTCATTCACTATTCAATGAGTGATTGGGGGAAAAATTCTATCTGCCTTTGGAATCTGATGTTAAAGATCAGGTTCCATGCGGTGATTCATACAAGAGGAAATACGGACTTTGCGTTTTGCATTCCGCCCATGAACCATGTGCATCAGGATGCATGCAACTCCTTCCTTCAGAGACCGATACGTCTAGGTTCCAACGGAAAGTGTTGCAGTGTCAGTCCTTTCCATATCTGATATGCCAGGGAGCTGGAAGCGATTACTCTCATTTCCTCGCTTCTGAGTACTCTCAGGAGTTCATAGATCGAGATCTAGCGAAAGAGTAAAGCCTAGAAACAGGACAATGCAAAATATACAGACTCATTTAAACCGCTTTAAGTGAAATGTTGAAGAATCCCATTACCTTGGTCTAAAATGTTTTGATTTACAAAAATTCCAACTACCAAAACGTACTGCTTAACCCGCAGGTCGAGTAAAAAAAAATACATACAATTATACGACTGGGACAATACAAGTACTAGGACAAAATCGCCCCATGTTGACAACATCTGAGAATGCTTGACCCAATAGCATTACGGCACATCGCCTAGAGAGCAGCCTCCATCTTGTCCAAAACCGCCCGCGTAAACTCATGGGTTGTCGCTTGCCCACCCATGTCTCGAGTTCGCGTTTTCCTGTTGCAAGTGTCAGAATGGTTATTTTGTTTCGCAGAACAATGTCTTTCATCATTTGCTGTGCTTACCCTTCACCAATCACATCATAGACGGCCTTGGAAATCCTGTTCGCGTGATCGTCGAGGCCGAGATGCCGGAGGAGCATGGAACCAGAAAGGATAAGAGCAGTAGGGTTAGCCTGATCTTTACCCTTGATATCGAGGCCAACATGACGGCAACCCGGTTCAAACACTGCGACATCCCGGCCCATGTTGCAGCCGGGAACGATGCCAGGACCACCGACCAGAGCAGCCCCAATGTTGGAAAGGATACCTCCATACAGGTTGGGCATAACCATCACGTCGAATTGCTGAGGGCGTGACACAGCTTGCATGGAGGCGTTATCCACGATCATGTCATTCGTTTCCAGCGTTGGGTAATTCTCCGCAACCTTGTGGAAGGTGCTGCGGAAGAGTCCATCTGCGAGTTTCATGATATTGGCCTTGTGAATACAGGTTACCTTCTTCCTGTTGTTTGCCAATGCGAAACTGAAAGCGAATTTGGCAATGCGCTCAGATTTCGCACGGGTGATAATCTTGAGTGACTCCACAACACCTTGCACGGACTGGTGTTCCAGGCCTGAATACTCTCCCTCGGTATTTTCACGAATGATGCAAAGATCGACGTTTTCATGTCGAGTCTTGTATCCAGGAATGTTCTTGATGAGCACCACCGACGCATAGATGTCAAGCTCTTGGCGTAGAGCAACATTGAAAGACTGATGACCCGAGCGCTCGATTGGAGTGTGCAAAATGCCCTTCAGACCCAGTTTATTGCGCCTAAGGGATGCAATTGATTCTCTGAACAACTCCTCGGAGTGCTTGTTTCCAGTATCAACTCCGCTGACGTCGACTTGTTCCCACTCAATGGGCACATTGTCCGCCTTGAAGATGGTCTTGACAGATTCAGCTACCTCCGCGCCAATTCCGTCACCTGTTCACAAACCTCAGTGAGCTCATATTCGTACGGTATCCTAGGTGATTTAGAAGTCCTACGATACCTGGAATCAGGGTAACAGTATATTTTCCGCCGTACTTTGTAGGTTTGAAGATATCCGACTGAACAGTGGCCATGGCTGCAATGCGAGTCAGAACTGCGCCGGAAAAAAAAACGATGACGGGATAAGAACATACATCTTGCAGCAATGAAAGACCGAGGGCCATTGGAAGACGCAGCCAACGCACTACGAAAGAGAGACTGCGAGACTTGTTAACAAACGCGAGCAACGCGGGGACTGGGGGATT